ATGGAAACTAAACTCTTCGTTTCTTAACTCAAATGGTAAAAATTTGCTCCATTTGCTTTATCATGCTAGTGATTTGAGATTCTCATTTAAGAAATCTTTCCATGTATGATGATGAATTGCTGTCTAGGATTTGTTAAATAGAGAAGTTGAAGTAAATCTTCTAAAGAACTCTGTGTGGATTATGTACAAGTTCTACATAAATGACCTACATAATTCACTTTGACGATCAGTAAATAACAAAATAATGTGTTGATCCAATAAACTTGACATTTTTCTAATTAACATGAATGAAAATTTTCTTCCAAAAAGTTTACACTTGTCAAGGCAGCCAGGACCAACATGGGTGGGTCGGTCATATATTTAAGTCAAATAAACGGGTCAATTGCTTTCTTTTTCATCTCATTGTATGTGGAAGAAAAAAATCAATCCCTTCTTTCCCCACGAACAACTTAGCTTGCTAAGTTTAATCTTATCTATAATTGTATGGAAGTTTAATTGAATTTATTTCACAACAATATGACTTAGATACTTGTACAAAACGTAATCAACTAATACTTTCTTCAAAAGAAATTTCATACAAGAGAAAACTTTATTTCTGTTATCACAGCTAACTAAATTGTCAAGGGGCAGAGTGAAAATAAATGTTTTTGGACTAAATTTGTTCTTTTTAAGTTTTGTGCTGTTCGATAACTAAACAAACCCCTGTTTATTTCGACTTCTTTTTTAGAACGAAGTGAAGTATTTACATGACTGAATAAGTAAAACCTATTTCAAAAGTCTCGAAGTGATTGATTGCATTTTAAATTGAAAATGAGATTTTTTATGCCCATGTAAATTAGGATCCTTGCTATACATATTTTGACAAGATACACGAGAGTCATTTTATCAACCGAATTACAAGATATTTCTGCAATTCTCTTTAAATATTCATGGATGTAATTGTTTCTTATATGAATAAATGAATTGTGAAAGAATGCTTCATGTTTTTCTATCGTTTACGTTAATAATTAATTAAACACGATGAAAAATTATTGTGTTGTATTGAAACAAGGACGAAATTATGTCGTATCTGCTTCTGAATATTTAAGTGACGTGACAAGATAAAGTGATTTTCCACCCACCATGACACATCAACACATAGACTAAGTCAACACGTTAATACTCTCAGTTAACCGCGCACGCGATACAAACCCTCTTTGTACTGGTGAAAGTTTATAAATCCATTTATCAGTTTTAATGTACGAATAGATTTTTATCACAACTCTGCACTTATGTAGTTGAAAATTAAATTATTCGTAAACTTCTTTGTGACGTTTATTTATTTTCAATATTTTCCGTTTAGAAGTTGTTGCTCTGTTTTAGCAATGTCATTTATTTTAATGTACGTATAGAGTTTGTGTGCATAATTTTGTTAAACATGTCAAAGACGAAGACACAATCATCAGAATTACTATTTATCAATTTTTCCTGTGTGAACGTCATCACAAAACGATTTTGACACTTTTAAATTTATTATCTAAATTTATAAAACTTTTCCTCGTGGAACTGAACATAATTTACAATCATTCAATGTCGATGAGGGAAGCTGAACTTTAAGAAAAATTTTTAAACAATCGAAATGAATCTTTATGTTATTAGAATAGTCAAATTTTCTCTTGATTTACATAAGTTTAAACTTTAGTTTGTTACTATTCAAAAATAAAATACATAAAAATCAAAAAGAAACCACATGACATGCCTTGAAATATCTTCAATTCTAATCTTATTTACTTTAGAACATTGAGACAAAATGATCCATTTTTATATCAAGCTACAACAATAAAACTCCCCTTCTGTTAGTAAGAATGAAAGTGAAATTGCGAAACATATTTTAATTTTCAAAATCATGTCAGATAGCTTCTTAAATATTTCTGGGATAAAAATATGAAGAGAAAGTAAGAGAGTGTTACAGCACCAGGAAAGAGAAATTTGCAAACAATTTTATAAGCAGGACCCTCGCTATTTTTGCATAACAAATGTTAAAGGAAATGTTTCAGGGGTGAGATATCAGATGTGCATGTGTCAAAACAAGAAAAACCATAAATGTTTAGCTTCTTATGATGAGTCTCAAGCCTATAAAAATTGTATAATCAAATAAAATTTTACTTACTGTTGCGCTAATAAATTCCTTCCTTTATGGCATAATCTTATATCGTCTCTCTCTTGAACGTTAAGGAATGTTTTGTAATCGTATTACATTTGTTTGTTGATGACTGTTGAACGTTTTGTTTATTGTTGATTTAAAATATTAAAATTTAATCATTCGTCGTGTCATGATTGGAGGCAAAGAAAAGAAAAAAAGAACATTTTCAGTACTTAAATATTTCAATTGAGTTGACTTTGCAAATTTCTCCCTCCTTACTCCTCTACTTTCTATAATTCTTCGTTGACGTACATTTTAAACATTTCTTGTTTGAATTTTTGATGTAAGATTGAAATATTAAATTTTTCATAAAGCAGCAATGAAGCGAACGCTGCTATTTTTCATCAAAGAAGAAAAAGACATCAAAATATATCCTTTAATCTCCCTCACGAGTCTCAAAATTCGTCCTAATTTATCGCAATCAATATTAACACTGTTGTCATTTTCCGAGTCGTTTATAGCGCTAACACAATTTTTATTATTAACATAGAAGCAAATATCCTGCCGTGATATTGTTTTGAGAGTCTTTTTTTATTATGGAAATTTAAGTCAATATCAGGAAGGAAATTATTACTGCATGGTGGTGGAAATTTAAGACAAAATGACAATAAAATAAACATAAAATAACTTGCCATCCAACGTCAAACTTTTAAACGACAGTAAATGTATGAATTTTACGTCACATTTCTCTTATTTTTAAAAGGTTTAAACATTTTTCCACTGAAAATCATTCAATTTCCCCAAGAACTTTTTGACAGATTTAAATTATTAACCCATGTTTTGGAACGGCTGACTTCACTTCTATTTATACGATTCTAAACATTAAAAACATCCCTTAGCCCATATACATTGGTTTCTTTACTTTTCCCTATGTGGCAATAAAAGCAAATCTTTTTCGTTTTGTGAATCATTGAAAAGGTTACATGTTTACACGATTTTAGGTTACCCACCGAAACCAAAAAAGAAATCGTAAATGTAACTCGTGAAACCTGGAATTGTTTCAATTCACCTAAAATTGTGAATGTGAAGTTAGAAAAATGTTGAAATAATTGGATAAAAATTGAAAATATCGTAAAACGTGATCAGATTTGCTAAACTTTCGCACAATTTTTGCATCATACTTTAGTGTTTGTGAGTGCGAAAGTTTTCCGGGTGTGTAAACATTCTTATCGTCCTTCTTAAGTTGAAACTATGCATTTAAGATCAATAAATTTTAAGATTTCAAAAGGGTGAACTTCCTATAATTATAATCACACACATACATCACCCACAATGTGACATTTACAACATTCTGATTTAAATCCCTTGAGAGAATCAGAGAATAAATTCTTACGTCCGAAACATTTAAAGTTGAGTTTTATTTCATAAGTCTATCTAATATTCACACAATATGAGACATATTGAGAATTTTCTATTATTTTATTGCAAAGCACCTTTCGAATAACGCTGCCGTCTTGAAATTTCTTTTACGTAACTTTCACATCTCAAAACCATTTTCTTGATTCGAAACGGCAATAAAAATAAATGTTTATAGCGAAAACACTTACGATTATTGCTGCTTATATGATATAGCCTTAAAGGACATTTCATAAATATTTTATTGCATGTACATTAGATGTCAAGTATGTCTGTGCAAATTTTGAAAGAAGAACAACTGTTTTCATATTAATATCAGATTTGTCTAGAAATTTAACTCGCGCGAGTACATTTGAACGCGAAAAGAGTAAAATGTTAAGTTAAAAGAGTGTTGTTGAGATATCGAAGTTTATAAATTAAAATGATTTGATACAAACTTTTTAATTCAAAATAATGAGCTAGTTTTTAAAGACATAGAAATTTTAATTTAACCACTTTAAATAATTTGAAGAAGTGCCTCAATTAATTTGGTTAATTAACATAAAAGATTTTTTATGTCACAACATAAAACAATTTCACGTAAAAACTTTTGATAGAGAACAAAATTTCTGACGCAAATTCTTTCGCAAAATTTAACACGAAACAAATGGAAATTCATTTGCTTCCCTTCAAGACATGTAATTATTTTTGTTTTATCCTTGTTGTCGATGTGTCTGCTCTCTTGTCTTCAACGTAACCTTAAGGGACTTGAACCATTAGGATATAATCGGAAAAATGCGTAGAAAAACTATAAATTAGAAAATCTCTTGATGAATTTTTCCATTTGTGCCTGTCCCACTCGCTTCCGAACGATGTTTAATGGTTCATTCTTCATTAGGTATGTTGAACTCAATGTCGTTTAATCACATAAAAATAATAGCAAAAATTATTACTTCAGTAATGAGAGACAAGAAAATCATTATGCGAACCACCTTAAAGCATTTCTCACAAGAGTTTTACTATGTCTATTCTTCTTTCGATTTATGGTGACTCGAGATGCTTAAAGATTTATTCGATCCTGCAAACTGTTTCCCATTCTTCAAAACGACCCAGAAAAGGACAAAGAGCAATACAATTTACTATAGTGGCAAACTTATTTATGAACATTTCTGCACAAACAAATTAGGGTTCCCCTTTTCCTTGACTGATTACTTGATGATCACAGATTTTACGGTCCAACGTTTCCTCAACATATGAAGATAATTTCAGAACAATTGGTATGCTTGTAATTAATTTTTTTTTAAACTGTCACTGATCACAATTCAAACATTCTTGAATGAATGCACAAGGTGAAACCTATTCGGAAAATTCATATGACTCCCCGAAAAGATCGAAACACTAAATATTTTCGTAGCTAGTCAATTAAAAAGGTACATTATTGCTCTTCATACTTGTTTACGAGCATCTTAAATAAGAGACATAATTATGTTTTAATGTCTTCTTCTGTAGTCCCGTGAATTCTCACCATGGACGGTTTTTTGACAATCAACACACAAATGTAAATAAATCTGCAAGAAAAAATTGACCAAACTGTTGATCTGAAAGGAAAAACATAATTTTCCAATTCAGTAAAAAATCTTAAAAGTAGTTGAAAATTATTATTATTACATGCATAAAATTATTTATTCAATTATAAGCTCGCATAAAACAAAAGGATCTCCCTTTCTAAGCAAACATATATAATCAACCCAAATATATATTTTTGATTTATTCACGGTTAAACATACTAATAAATGTAGATGATGTACATAACTTCTCGTGACGCCCAAGCAATGTCGATTTTCACCCTCGTTTCCTTTTTTTCGGATTTATGTTTCAGCTTACATGGTGTTCGCCTAGATAGATATCTTTGATAGTGATAAAAATGAACATTTTTAAATGGAAATTTAGGCATCAAAATTATTCTATTTTGTTAGAATTAAAATTCAGACTTGTTTGAGTTTTATTGCATCACTGCCATCAGTCAAAGTAAAAGTTTAATATCTACATAGTTGGTTTGTTGAGCTCAGTTTTGCTATGAAAGAAAAGTCAAAATTTTTATAATAATAAATTATGATGTTGAATATTTGTTGACTGACATTGTTCATGGTGCGCAAAATATTCTAAATGAAATGACAACGTATTTTTTTATTCTGTCATAAATGTTGTTATTTACACTTCAGATGTCTTTTTCGGCTTGGATGATTGAAATATTTGAATTTCTATTTCTTCGCATAAATGCATTCGCATCTTATTATTATAATAGGTAGGATGACAAGACATTACATTTTAAATGATTTAAAATGTTTAGACTGTTGATTTTCTTGATTTAACAAATCGTAAAAATATGATAGATTTCAAGTTGGAGATTATTATTATTATTAGGTATTATTATTATTATTATTATGATTCTTGGCAGTTGAAGTCAAAAATTGGGGGTGGTTGAAGGAAGCTCACTCATTAAAATATTTCGTTTTTAAAAAATAATTTGACATTATAAAAAAGGAATAAACTTTATGTAAATAAATTGTTTATTTTCGTGTGTTTAATGATTGAAGGCAATTCTATCTCGCGCGCTTATCTTTGAAAGAAAGTTGCATTTAGTCTCGTTACTCAAATATTGCTCATAATCAAAGTTCATTTTGAACCGTTAAATCGCTCAAAATTGAACCGTTTGACAATTACTAAGTAAAGACACATTTATGTGTCTTTGTTTTGTGAAATTTCAACGGAAACTCATTTCAAGTTAAAAATTTAACTAAGTTTGATTCTTAATTTAAAAAGATGTGGTGTAAATTTGACACCTCGTCGTTTGAAAATGAAACTATTGGAAATTCATTTGCCATAAATGGAATTATCAAAATATCAAATGAAGAACATGTAAGTAACAAACAAAAAATAAAAAATCTTGAAAATAAAATTCGAATTTTTTTTCAATTTCAGAGTAAAAGAAATCCTAAAATCAATGCTCAATCTCAAAGCAATAGAACGCTTATTGCTGTTGATAAGAGTTTAATCCTTCTTGACAATGAAAGCGAGAGTAAATTTTTCAGTTTTGAATCTGAAATTGATTGCTTTGCTGTTTCGAAAAGCGGTGATTTAACAGTTTGCTGTTTATCTGACGGCAACATTCATGGCATATATATTAAAGGCGTTCCACTATTTAATATGTANCGAAGAACTATTCATTGTGTGTGGAACAGATGCAATTTATTTCATCGTTGAGAGCAATGTCGATTACATTTCATATCCAGATGACATAAAATGCATCAAAAAGATTTTCAACTTGGAAAATTACATTATTGGATTAAATGATGATGGTCAACTCATTGAAATTTGTCCTTTCACAAAAACTATTTATAAAATAAGAAATAAATGGAATGATGCACCAATTGAGGACATGCGAATGCTAGAAGCTAATGACGAATACATCGAGCTCTTAGTGCTGTCAGCAATCACCAGTCAAAATGAGCGGTTAATGAAAATCGTGGAATTCCCATCAATGAATATTAAAAGTGAGTTAACAATACCTGGAATGTCATGGCTCGTGACACAGCAGAAATCATCTGTAAACTTATATTTCATCGCTGGAATTGTCAATGAAGATAATTACATTCAAACAATTGAGATTCGCAACATAACAGAAACTGATCCTGAAGATCGTTACAATAAACTTTTGTTGCGAGGACATTTCGAGCAAGCAGAAGAACATGCAAAGGAGTTTGAATTAAGTTTAGAGCCGTTACATGAAGCTCGAGTTAGACGATCATTAAATATCCTCAAAGGAGTTAAATCGTCATCGGAATTGTTCAGCAAAGAGTTTGACAAACTCATGTCGCACTTGTCGTTGATTGAAAACAAAGAATTCTTGGTGAGCATTCGCTTAAATGAAATCCCAAATCGTTCAAGCATGACAGTCTTCCTCACATTCCTTCTCAATAACATCGACACAAATGAATTCCAAAGTCCAACGAACGAAATCAATGAATTGTTGCTCCGACTTGAGACGCTTCGTCTGATTGATCCCGATGAATGCAACATGCAATGGGAGAAGTTTCTTTACAATGCTGACATGGGTCGAGTGGCAATGGATCATTTCAAGTCCGATGTCTCACTTTCTTGTATCATTTGGTCACGTCATGCTTCTTCAATTATGCCACGACTCAACATCAAGCAATTTAAGCAATGGCTAGAAAATCTTCCATCGACTGTCGAGCCTTTTGCTATAATTCAATGGCTTAGAAACTTCGCTCCATGCTTTCTTCAACTTTATTCTCATGAAATGACGTATTTAGTCGATTGGTGTTTGAAACGAACGCACGAACTCCAATTCTCAAATTCATGGCCAGAAGTCGGACTTGAATTCATCAACAACATCAACGGAATTTTTAAAGATGTAAAATTCTTGTTCATTGACATTCGGCGCGCTTATCATCAAAACATGGAGAAGATTCAAGCTTTTGTGTTTAAACTTGAGGAAATGTTAGTTTTGAAGCAATCTTATCATCTTACAATGTCGTTGGATGAATACAGCAAAGGATCGATTGAAGATACGGCATTTCGATTGTTGCAACGAATTCAAATGCAGAACTTTACACGACTGGTGAATGATTTCTTGTATCCAATCTTCGTTGAACATGGCTCAACGCCGGAAGATACAATCGTGAAATACATTCAATTCTTGTGTACAAATAAAAGTCTTGGATATTGGCAAGAACGTGCAATTTTGTCAATTGATTTGTTACATAATGAAGAGAATCGCTTACAATCAGCTCTCCTTGTCCTGAAGGTGTCGCCAGTACCTTGGAGTAAAGTTGTGTTGCCTTTGGCAGCTCTTGGAACATCAAGTAGTCATCCTTTAGCTAAATCGATTTACATTGAATACAAAACACAAGCAATAAAGATTATTAAAGTGAAATATGGTTGGCCAATCGATTACTTTGATTTGCAACAAGATCGAGTGAAGCTCGTTTTCCGGATATTAAAAATCAACAATCCAGAAATGATTGAAGATGTCGAAGTGCTCATTAACTCTTCTCCTGGTGTTACACACGAAGCTTATTTTCATTTAATACATCGACTTGTTGAGTTAGGAAAAATGGATGAATTCAACAAGTTGATTATGAAAATTACAGAAAATGTTGATCGATATGACGAATTATTTGAAAGCATTTCGAATTCATTCACTTCAAACATTGATGACGATCAGGAAAGTTTTAGAAAAAAGAACGAGGAGGAAATGGACCATACAATGGAAGCAATTAAAGTTCTTTTCAATCAATTGAAGGGAAAGTTAGAAGACACAAAAATTTCCTCCTTTGAAATGAGATTAAAAAATTTGCGAAACATAATAAAAGTTCGTCGATTATTTAACATAGAATTGAAATTAAAGCATCTGAAATCAAAAGTTGAACTTGAGAAGAAATTCGAAGAGGGAATTTCGATTATTGTTGAAGAAGTTCATAAGAAGTCGTCGTTGAATGGAATTTGGTGTAAAATTGATTTACTTGGCGCAACGTTTAATAAAAGTCGCTTTATTGGATGTCAGAAAGTTGCTTGGAGGTTGAATAACATTTACGTCACTTGTCACATTGTTGACACGTTAAACTCTTCGATGAATGAAATTGAGAGCAAAGATATCGAGAGTGTTATGGAATTCGCCATTCTGATGTTGTCACAACAAATTGAATACTTCGAGAATAACATTGGGACGTCGTTTCTGTACTACGATCCTTTAGTCTTCCCCCTGGCGTATGAATTTCTCAAAAAATGTTTGATTCACAATGATCTGCTTTTCCATAACAGCCTAATTGAAGTTTTATCATGGCTGAGTACTGGTCGTAATTATTATCCGATTGATGTCATCGAAACAACGAAGAAACAGAGAATCTTGGATGAAAGAATATTTGAAAATTCCTCGACAACATCGTCGGCAATGAAATTGAATGGAAAGGATAATCATCGTCGTGAATCTTTCTCAATTTTTGAGACCATTGAGGACAAAATAATTTCAACTCCAACACAGGTGAGTTTAGAATTTCGTGAATAAAAAAGCATCAATAATTAAACTTTTTCTCTTCTCGTTAGCATACTACAAATGAACATTTGAATCCTGTTCTTAGAAGTATCAGCAATTGTCTTCGACTAATCTTATTTGTCGTCAAGACTAAAAAAGAGCCTTTTAATCGATTCCACAAATATCTTCAAAATTCACCCAACAATGACATTCAACAGTGAGTATAAATTAAAGCAATTTTCTCTCAAAACGCCTGCAATTAAATTTTAATTCAACAGAATCAAAGACAATTTCTTTGGATCGCTTGAGGCATTGTTGAAGTCGGAACAGCATCAGCCGGTAGTGAAATTGATTCATCACGTGGTTGAGCGTCAGAAAGAAGAAAACGTTTCGATCATTCCTCCAATGTTTGCTACCACCATACGTAAGAAGATTCTCAAATACATGTTAAGTCAGAAGAATCCGGAATATTTGCGTGCATTTAGAATTCTGCAAGCAGATGAAAACAGTGAGGAGTGCATGAATTATCTGCGCAGTGTGCTTAAGAACAGCTCACAGAAAATCGCCTTCTCGACCTTCTCTGAGATGTACAACAAATATGTTGGAAATGTTGGCGGCGGAGCTGACGAAAGACAAAATCGACTCAAATTTTATTACTATTCTGAACTCTGCAAATACGACCCGAACTTGAGATTCAAAACGAATTTCGATTCGTTTGACATCAATGAATTGTTGCAATATCTGGAAAATCATGTTTTGAACATTGAACTGGTGAAGAAGTTGACCAAAGATTTCGGTTGGGATTATCAAAAGGTTTTGGTTCAACAAATTAAAATTATTCTTCAAAAAGAGTCGCTTGAATTTGAGCTCAAGGCAAATGTTTTCGGTAAGGAGGAAGTTATCGTTAAGACGTCAGTTGAGTCAATTCGGAAGAAACTTGGGCCGTATTTAAATGATGTAACTAATCACCAACTGTTGCTGATAGAACTGAACAGCTTCATTCGGGAAATTAATTATTACTTTTACGAAATGTATCTGGTCGTGTTTGAAATGATTGAACATTGCGGACAATTGACGAGAGAACAGCAAATTCAGCGTCACATTCTTTTCCTGTTGAAGCATAAACTGACGGAAAAGCGTCGTGGGGTTGATCAAAGAGAAAGTGATTGGTGGCTGAAGCTTCATTTTAATAGCAGCGGACCTTTGCCAGCGATCTCTAAATATCGCCTTCCATTCAAACCAATCATGGAAGAAGCGCTCGAAAATATTCTCAACGAAGATCTCAACGTAGATTCATTTGAGAAATTAATTCCATTAATTAAACTTCATGCTTCACACGCTAATGTCGATCCAGAAGAACGTGTCAATGCTTGTGCATTTACTGCCGTTAAGAATTCTGTGTTGAATTCAAAAGTTCAATTTGAAGTCAACAATGGAGCTGAATGGAATTTAAAACCGAAGAACAACGCTTTTCTTCAAACAATCTTGCGAATGGTTTCATTACTCAAAGACAAGCCAAAACAGCTCGCAATTTTGTATTTTTATGTCAACCACGCTCCAAATGGTTCTGATAAAGTCGAAGCGGCCTACGAATGTTGGAAGTTTGCATGTTGTAATGAAGATCAATTAAAAGGCTCAAAATTTTATGATTTAGTGGAGAAAATTAAAAGGAAATATCCTCAATTAAAAACTCAACATTTACTCAATCTTTATGGATTATCGTGTGATGACAAAGTGATGCAATTAATTGAAAATCCCCGTGAATTAATTCAAGCACTTTACCAACATGAATCAATTCTTGGGCCACAAAAGAAGGAGATTAGCAAACTGTGCGATGAAATTTCGAGACTTCACGACATTGATTTGTTGTCACTACAGTGCTTACTGCTACACAAGTGGCTTGCATTCTCTAACGCTAATTCCAACAATTTGAGCTTTGAAGAAGGCGCTCATGATGCGAATGAGACTTTATACGAAGATTTCATTAATTCTCCTACTAATGTAGATGAAACTGAATTCATCAGCGATGAAAATGTGGTTCGTGCTTATTACATTCTAAGCAGTTGGAATGGAGAAGAAGCGATGGATTTCCTAGCGAGTGAGCTTGGATCTTCAAAAACGAGCTCTGAAAATCAACTTCAACTCTATGAAACATTTGCGAAACTCATCGATGATAAGAACGAGGCTTACATGGATCTTGTTAACACTGATCAATATCTTCACATCAAATGTTGTCATTTACTCAAACAACTTGGATTCCAAATGAAGCCAGAAGTGTTTAAAGACACTGACAAACTGAAGTTGTTGAAGAAAGTTTGGGTGAGTCACTTCAATAATATCAAAGGACTTGAAGTGATGTCATTTATTTGCCTTGGATTTAACATTCATTTGGCTCAAATTTGGAATGGAATCTTGAAACAAATGGTTTCATTGAAAATGGTAAATATTAATCTCAATTTTACTTTCGGGAAACTTTAAAAACGAATTTTCTTTTCTCTTAATTAAAGGTTCAACAACTTTCGATACTCGTCGAGATTCTTTCAACGAAATCTCAACTTCTTCACTTGAGTAGTTTGAAGTCAGCTTGGGAATGCGTCATTAAAGATCCACTGTTGCATGCTACGAAAGTTCGTTCGTATGAACAAAATGTTAAGCTTTCAAAAGCTTTAATTCTTCTTCAAAGATGTCCCGTGTCAACGTTCTTGTGTCTTGAAGAATTTATTGAATTGTTGTTGCGATTGGATCGACCTCACATGGCAGCTATTTTCATAGCATTTGCTGCTGAGAAAGATCGCAGTGTTTTCGTGAAGATGTTTGAGTCATTTAGCAAGCACGATTTGAGAAAGAATATTATTGAACTTGAGGAATTTGGAATAGCTCCTGTCATTACACAATCAGTATTGAACATTCTCCAACTGAATAATTAAATAATCTGAAGAGTGCAGCTACATAATATTGAATTCTTGAATATGTAATGATTACTGCTGAAATGTTAAAAATTGAAGATGAATAAAAATTCAGTTGATTAATTTTTGAAAATATTTTTTTGTGTTTTTGTTTATTATATTCATTATTAGTTTTAATATATAAATTGTTTTTATCACTTTTTAATCATCTAACTTCTATTGTTTAATTCAGCTTTTTCCCACGAAAAAAAACATACATAAGAATTATTTATCAAACAAAATAAAATTTAAACGTTATGCAATGATCATCATCGATCGATTACGCCTTAAAGTTGGTAAAAATAAATGTTGCAAGAAGCTTTTTTATCAATTATGTATTTATGTTGCACGCGCCGAAGAAGAATGAATAAGGATTAAAAAGGTTTGTTTTCTTTTTCACAAAGTGGTAAAATATATTTTCAATGTTTTTCTTTTTGTGTTTTTTTTCTTGATTTTCTCTTCATAAACTCTTCATTTATTTATTTATTTATTATTCCCGTTCAAACTGTCATTTATCGAGAGTTGTTTCTTTTATTCAGAGTTCATAATTGGTGTCGTATATAAAATCAAAAGACAATCGATTATTCACATAACATTCTTATTAAATATGTATGTTGTTTACTTTTCACTTTCTTGTTAAACATATTTATGTTGTGTGAAATCTTCTTTTTATTTTTTGTTTCTTGATTCTTTTGTTATTCTACATTAAAATTAGTTTAGTCAGTTTTTTTTTCTTCTTCATATTATCATCCATACGTCGATCTTTTCTTTAGATTATTTAAATTTAGTTTTTTCCTTCTTCTTTCTTGTTTCTCCTATTTACATGACAAAGAAATGACAAAAAAATGGTTTATCTAATTAGATACGGAGGAGTTGAAGAAGTTTACAGGCGCGTTATTCTCTAATTGAAAAACAGAAAAAAGAAATTCTTCACATCTTACACAATCTTAATATAGATAAATATTCAAAAATATTTGTGTTTATCATCATTTTAGCGCGTGTTGTGTGTATGTGTTGTCCACTCAGTTTAATTCCTTCATAATAGTATTTCTACTAATTTCTATTCGTTAAAAGTTTGCTTGTTTTCTTTTTCTTTTCAAACATAAAACAGTAGAAAAATCCCTTAAATCCACATTGAACCCAAATTGAAAAATTTCTAACGTCACAAGAAAAAAGCATTATGAAGGGAACAACAAATGAAAACAAAAGAAAATCTTCCATTTCGCTAAGTGCAGTCAACACAAGAAGATAAATAATAATAACGAAGAATCATATCATATACATACAAGAATCCATATAAACATTCTCTAAACGTGTGTGGCTGTTGATCTCTTAGTAGTGTAAATTATTGCATTAAATTTTTAAAGTTCAAAACAAACAAATTGCTTCTCACTTTTCTAATTATCTTGACGACAATTCTCTGTTCGTAGCACATGCTTGGGAATGTTTTTTATTGTTCTCAACACTTCCAAGCTTGTCGAATTGAACTTCAGTATCGTAGTTTCCTTAACAATGACTTTATATCTTTAAACACGAGTAAAAACCCTCAGATAGATAAGAAAACCACGACGTTTCTCTACTTTTATACCTTAAATGTATGTATATGTTTTGAAACTTCCTTGAAATAATATAATTAATGTTTTTATGACAGCTTCAACAGAGGTGAAAGTTTTTTAAAAAGGCCTAAACGCAAAACGAAACTTTTATAATATAATATAATTTTACATAATAATCAGTTAATAATTATTTAATTATGCTCTTCTTTCTTTCTTTTTTTGTATAATGCTGAGCCTACTTCACTCATTGAATTGCATAATTATTAATAATCAAAATAGTAATAATAATAATAATAATAATGATAATAAAAAGTACATCATTAAATTTATCTAACTTTTCTTCTTCGTTATATTTCCCAGCTGATGATAGAATCGTATTATTGATAAGAAACGTCGCCACAAAAGGCCATGAAGCGATTTAAAAATGTCATAGTGCCAATTAATTTTATTTCGATTTCAAATTTTATTTGCTTAAAGAAAAAGAAACAGGAAAATTGATCTTTACTAATATTTTATATTTCTTTTTGATTTACTTTTCTTTAATTGCAATACTTGTGAAGGTGAGAAATTATAATAAATTAACTTTTTTTTGCTATCCTTTCCCGTCAAAAATATCTTCTTCTGTCTTTTGAACGTTTCAACGTTGTTTCAATCAACAGAATTATTTACATAAACAAGAGAAAATTTTGTTGACTTCTAATTTGTTTGTTGTTTGATAGCAAAAAGAAAGAAAATTGAAAAAAAGATGAAAAGAAAGTTGATTTAAATTTAATAACGAAACAAAAGGAAGAATTAATAAAAAGGATAATGAAGATTCGGTTGCACTTGCATTTCATTGAAAAAAAGTTGTTTGATGGCACATCAATAGCCCACGTAATACGAAATAGAGGTTTCTTCATATCATTGACGTTAATTGTTTTATAATCTTTTTTTTTTCATTTTCATTTCTTAGGGAGTTAAACACATCTAGATTTTTTTAACTGAACGATTTCCACCACCACCACGATCTGATCTTTACCGACGTTGTCTGTGATTAAACTGTGACGTGAAAGCATCATCAACACGCTTCAAATTTTCTGGATCTTTTCGCCTACAACGACCGGATTGTTTCGTCGAATTTCAGCGGCTCCATGCTCTCGATAATCAAATGAACATTCATGTTTGTCACTATATCGATGGATTGCACAATACAGTCCACCGCATCGACATTCGAATCCTAAAATTTGAGAGTTACAATTGAAGATTAAATTTAATTTAAATAAAATTTATGAAAATTATTAAATCCAACGAAACTTTAAAGGAAGTTAAATTTATTTACCTGTCAGTCCAACCTTCTTGCGGCAGGTGACACAACGATTTTTTTTCTTTTTGGCATCTTTGTCACCATCTACGTCCTTGTCGTCATCTTGACTGCTTGGCCCAGCACATTCGGCACTTTCTTCAGGAAGTGATTTCTATGAGAAGAAGAGATAAGAAAATGAACTTTAAATTTTTTTTTCCCTTTCCTATGTTTAGTAACAAAAATATTTATGCTAGACAAACGATCAGACCTTTGACAAGTCTTTAATCACACTTTTTTGTTTCGAAGTTTCTAGTGGATCAAACGTCACACAACATGGTTTCTTGTTTGATTCAATATCTTTGTCATTAAATGATTCTTGACTTCCGCTGTTACGTCGCTTTGACATGATTAAAATTATTTCGATCTCTACGACAACAAAAGATTTTGAATTGTCAAATGATAAGAAATTCTTTCCTTTTTATCAGCAAGGGAAAAGATGTTGTGGCTTAGTTTAACTTTACGTTCTCTGAAGTTTGATTTTGGTATTTGTTTGTCAAAGGCCACTGAAGCGTTTCTAGATATTTATTTTCACTTACTTCTTTATCAGCTGTGGTTTGATTATTATGAGTTAGCACAGTAGGTTGAGCTGTTATATGTTCGACATGTGTTGGTGTAGACTGATTACTCAGAGATGGCATGGCAGTGCTAGGATTACTAGTTTGTGTAGAGCTATTGACAGGACTTGAGGCCGTTACAGGTGTGCTGCTAACTGGTGGCTGTTGTTTTTTTCTTAAAGCATCCTAAAATTGCGAATAAAATGAAATAAATGAAACGAAAAACAAATTTATAAATCTACTTACTTTAAAACAAACTGAACATAAGCCATCCTGTGCTGGATTTCCATAAAAGCCACATCCAGATCTACACATTGGCTGCATTGGATTTGATTCACGTTCCATTTTTTTAATTTTTTGTTTGAACAGTTTTTAATTATAATTTATTTATTTCCTTTATTCTTTTTTCAGAAAGGACGTTAAGATTTTTATAATATGTTTTTATGTTTGCTCAGTTAATTAATATTTTTCACTAAATTTAAAACTCAGATGCTATTCACTTCAGTTTTTAGTAAGAAACAAAGCAACAAAGATCTGTTTATGTCCAAACGACAATTGATTTTCTGGTTTTTTAAAACTTCTTCTTGTTCTTAAATGTTTTTCTTGTTGTTCCTTATTATCATCACTTATAGTTCATAAATAATAAGTTTTTGTGTATTTTTTTCACTTTTTTATGTTATGAGCTTCTTCTGACGTCAGTAGATATGTTGATAATTATAAGTGTTGAATACGAACGAATCTGAAGAGAAAGATAAGAATTTGTTTAGTTAGTAAAAATATTCCCACAAGCAAAGTAAGGGATTATGCGTCTTTGAGAAATTTCCCACAAAGACATGACCTCCTGTGGACTATAAACTATGAAAAGTACTTGAAATCATTACAATAATTATTAACTAAACTAAAATCGAAGAAGTTCATAAGAAAAGGGTGAAAATTTCAAGTCCATATGGAACATGGTTCAAGCAGCCTTTAAATATTTTTACCATATTATTTATTATTGCAAAGAAATCATCGAAATTCATGACGAATGACAAATGAATATTTTTTTCCTTCATTGTTCAACGTTACAAAAGCATTGAGTGAAACGAACGACGTGCCGTCTCTTTCTAAAGCAGCAACCAAAACATTGAAACATTGAAACATTGGGAAACAACAGTTAGATACCATTTTCTTACTCTTCGCCCCTTCAATATGAATTTAAGAATATTGCTGTTGAAAAACATATAAATTGTGTTCGAGCACAGTCACAAACAAAAACTTACACAACAGCACATGCATTAAAGCAGTGAGAGCTTACTTTAAGCAATCAGAAGGAATTCTTATGTCGTGGCAAAGAAGTATCGACAAAAAGGCTTGTTGCAGGTTGATTTCTTAATGTTTCTCTTATCTTTTGGTAATTATTGTTTAGTTTGTATTGTTATTAACGTCATTAGTTTTGTATGTTTTCAATTCTTTCATTCATTAAATTCATCTTTTCTATGTTGGCGTTTGCAGGCACTATCATTATATATTTGATTTATATATTCTATGGAATTCTGTCATAAAAGGTCATGCCAAAATAAAACAGAAAGCTTAGATAAGCCTAAAGTTGCTTATTTGCAACGTTTTAAAGACCCAAAAACATTTTCGGACACAAAAAATAAATGTTTTTTAATATTTGGTCACAAATGTAAATAAGTTTGAGCTACATTTTTCTTTTGGTTATTTTTATTACTTTACTTTCTCACTCTCTTTTATCGTCTCATAGCTTTATAATCAACGGAAAGAGGCAAAGGTGATGTCATAGCTTATTTTATTTTTCATTTATTGTTAACCCATATTAGAGTTACAGATGTAACAAGCGTGGAAAAAGAAGTTCCACTTTTATGAATTAGAAAGTGAAAAAGAAGTGAAGCAAAAATATATCTTTGTATGATTTTTCACATGCATTTGTTTAAACAATGCATATGTAGTCATTAATTTTCTATTATAGTTTTCATTTGTATGCATGTTTGAATTTAAGAAAACTCGAGAAAACATTACTAACGTCGAATACTTTTTTTCTTTGCTAAGCGAGACTAAATTGATGACGTCATGCGTCTTACGACGCGTATTTTATTAAAAAGAAAAAGAAATCCATTTACTTAAATAAACGAAAAGAAATATATAATCACAAAGATATGACTAAGCAGAGGCCAAATCATTTCTGGGAATATATAATCGCAATTTTTCTCTGACGTATAATTACGTCACATCGAATTTCGTAGAATTTCAAAGTGACTTTCAATGAAGAGTATAAATAAACATATTTAATATTTTTAACATAGAACTGAGCAATAAGATTAAAATTTCAAAGTTCAATAAGAATGTTTCTTAAAAAGAACGTAATTATGTATCAAATAAAATACAAAACTATTTCAGTATTTTTTAAATTCAAAACATTTTCTCAAGGCCAAAGAGAAGCGTTCACAAAAAAAAAGAAGCTTTTCGCTTATGGTGGCAAAACGAGAAACACAGAGAATGGGAGACACGCGTGGATTTGTGTTTGTTAATGCTCTCCTGGAGATATACGTACGTATAGCTAAGCTAAGGTACTCTCACAATTGTAGAAGTTTATTAGCAGCTTTTCATGACCTCATACACGGCTTACAGCAATCTAATTGATTGCACGAGTATGAAGCCTAAAGCTTTTACCTCACATTCGAGAAAATGCTTCACAATAATTATCAAACTTCCCTCAGAGATAAATGATAAAAAAGATTTTCATTCCATTAGATAACTACAAACAATTTGCAAATTACGCTGCAGGTTTTTCAATCATTAAGGAAAAAGCATTTCAAAAGTAACGTAGCCCAAAATATAAGTAACTGAGTTCAGTAAACATTTACAGTCGTGATGTAGAGAATCATCTTCCTTTTTACTGTTCCAAAATGAAACCACACGGAGAAAATTTGTTGTTGTGTTGGAAAATAGGATGGTTGAATGACCTCTTTCTTTTCTCCTTTGAATATAATTCTCCCTTTTTCTTCCAGCCGCAAGTGCTCTATCATTCCCTCATAGAAAAATACCCGAAAAAAGAAATTACAGAATACAGAAATGAAACATATCAGCCACGCACGCACATACACATTCGCACGTGAACACCATCCGGCCTTCACTGCTGGTTTCAAATGATATTTGCTTTACAAACACGTTTTATATGTAGACATGTGCATAAGTATGCCTGCATTTTAAGCATTCAAGTATTCAACAATATGACTGCAAGCACTTAATTGTACTCGTGAATTTTCGACGATTATTTGCGTTCATCGAAATTCGTATGCATGAAAACAACATTTAGATATAACTTAAAATATAAATTAATTAAAAATAAAATCTTGTTTCTTAAAAAAATTTAAAAAGCTGCTTAACTTAAACCAGAACGTCAAGCAGGATTATTAAATTAGTAGACAAAGTCTGAGATTAACTCAAACTGATTAATTCAACTATTGCTGGCTTACATAGAAGAATGAAAGGTTTGTGAATAGATCGATTTTGAACATTCAACAATTAAACAGATGAAGGGCTGAACTTCATTACAAACTCAAACATTTTGACCTTCTAAAACAAATAAATTCTGATACTCTTTTTATAATTTGAGCAAACAATCACCTTACAAATTTTACCTTGAGAAGGTAACAGATCCATCATCAAAATTATTTTTATTCGACAAAATTATCATCGTGTTCAATTAAATATGTTTCAAGTAGTAAAATACTTCGTTATCTTTCTGGTTTACTTTAACAAATTCATAAATGAGAAACAAGCTTCATTTATAAGAAATATTCTTAAAAAACAACAAAAGCTTTGACGTTGACTACAATGTGGGTCCTAACAACTATCCGTTGGCGTAAATGTCAATGCATTGGCATTTACAAATGCATTAAATGACAGAAAATCAATTTTTCATCATCATTAATTCCATCTAGAAAAGCCAGTGGAACGTCAACAAGTAATTTCTTATTTTATAAAGTATAAAAGGAAGAAAGTTATGAGAATTATATTTCCTTTCATTTCTATATTGAAAAAGTTCCGTTCCACAACAAAACCAACATAAGAAACGCAAATGTTATAGCATTAAAAATAAAACGAAACAACAGCCAAAAGCTATTCGATCATAAAACTTCAAAAAGAGAACTTAGCGGAATGTATAGAAGAAATTAACAAGACGACAACTAAATTAAAGGCAAAGGCGACCAATGAAAACTGGTTTCTACTCGAATTTGCCTTAATACCAGAAAAATATTCATTCGATATGATATGACGAAAACAAAACTTGATACTATTATTAGTGTGAAAGGAAAAAAATCAAAACAAATTTAATATTACAAACTGAAAGGCGCAACCAGGAAAAATGCGAACACAGTTAGGAAATGAAAATCACGGCGTTGTACGTGGGAGGGTCGTGAAAAAGCGGGTGAAAAAGTGAATGCTCGATTACTAGTGTTGTCGATAAAGCTTTTAATTCTGATATTTCAGTATTAATTGAGACGCACTGAACAATCTCAACTTGTTTTCCACATTCATCATAGCTCAGCTTACAATCAGCTGCACCTGCACTATTTCATTTCAATAACGCGAGAATTTATTAAGACTTATTTACAAAAGAGTTCATTAACTGAGCAAATTCGTTATTTCTTCTGACGTCAACAGACAAAATTGGAACAGGAAATGTGAAATCTCGTTCTTTTTGTTCATTCTTACCATTTATTTTGACAGATAAGAGAATAAAAGAATGAATTGATGACGTCTTAACTTATCAGAAACTACGGAGTATAATGATTAAAAAATATATAAATAGACAGTTTAAGTATGTTGCTTCAAGGTAAAAACAAAGATGAGAGAAATTATTTTTTGCTTAAGATGCGTAATTAATTTGCGATAATAGACGAGCGGATGAACAGCTCTTTGTGATCAAAGTCAATCGTGCATTTAGCTTGATGCAGCCGTCTAATGTCGATTTGTAAAGTGTGTCGAATGCATTCGTCCTTGACATGAAATACCAATGATTTTTTTTTCTTATGAATCTAATAAAACTGTCGCGAAAGAAAAGAGGAAACTACAAGTTTTAAAACTAACATTAATTCATCCTCTGCTCGAGCTTATTTATTTCACGACTTATTACTAACAACTGGTACTAAAAAAATATTAATTCTTGTTTCACAAACATCGCAAAGGCCATTTTCTTATTCTTAGAGAAACTTCGCGCTAGGCGTAAATAATTTGCTATAGCAAAACAACAATGAAATTATCAATAAATATTTCAATGGAATTTATAAAGAAAAATCTCTTCAAACTACGCAACACAAGGCACAACAACAGTCGGACGTAGAGCGAAAATAATCAAACGATCGAGTTGTGATGTTTAGCTTAACAACTTCAACTTCTCGCTTAAGCAAAGTGCATAACACGTAACATAAATAGGAGAGAGAAAAAGAAACATTAAGCGATGGTGAAGAAAAGCTGGCAACATAGCATTCAGTTACACTTCATAATCACATGATCACAATAAAAACACCCAACACCACACAAACACATAAAAAGCGCCAAATAATCATTCAAATAGGAATGTTTTGTGCGATGCTAACTCTTTTTTTCTGTTTTACTTGTTAAAAAGAATAAAAACCTTATAAATTTTATATTTGCGCGGACGTGCATCGAACAGCGATGATTATTTGAATTTTTATTTTAAATGAATAAAATATATGAGAATAAAAAGGGCAAAATAATCATTCCTAGATTATTTCAATGCAGAGACGGGTGAAACGTGATTTGGGGGATTCCCAGATGAATTTTGTATTTTTCTTCTTTCCAGAAATATAAACTTTGACCTGTTAACTCTCAAAGATGTCCTGGGAAATTCCCTCGGCCATCTCTGTCTCAGTGGAAAATACGTGAAAGTAAAATTTAAGAGCAATAGAAGAAGATATACTTAGATAGCATTAAGAAAAAAGTCATAAATGACAGTTAAGAAAAAGAAAATTTTCTGTTGCTCCGCTCGAAAATTTATTTCCATTGTTTGACGCAACTAACAACGTAACTAACTTGAAAATGAATTTTCCGCACACAGTCAAAAGAAAAGTATAAAAAGAGACTTTAAAATTATGTCTCCACATAGAATAGATACAGTCGAGTAAATGAAATCGAATTGAAATTTATTTCAAAGAAGGAACAAATATTTGGAAGTAAGAAAAGAAACAAAAGGAAAAAAGCTGATTAATTCTTTTATGGAGACTTAAATATTTGAGAGTCTAAGGCGAGCCCAATGAATTTTGTTTCTTCATATTTTAATTCTTATCGAATTTAACGAAAAGGAATGAGAAGAAAAACATAAATTCATTAATTTTAACTTGAATGTCTATTCTCCTCCATTCGTTGTTTATTGGTGGTTTCTAAGTAGTGCTGATTTTAAGACGCATTTCGAATATTTTTAGTCTTAATTTCATCTTCACTGCCAAACATAAATATTCAGTGCTTAACTCACTTTTAATGAAACGCGCGACTTATGAATGTGTTGGTTTTCTTGACGGAACTTGATTTAAGCTAGTAACTGTAAAAAGTGTTGCCAACAATCTATAGTCCGAGCCATTTTAATTTTTTTTCCTTACGTTATCTTTTCTTCATTTCATATCGCAGCAGAAAGACACAGACAAATATTTTTCTCAGAATATAAGCTTCCACCTCATTTATGATTTCGTTATTTTACTTAATATTTTTTTTGTTAAAAACTTTTGATAAAAACAAATTGTTATTGTTTTTTTTTCTCAAACCAAATATTTACATCGCATGAAGCTTTCCTTAGCCTTTATTTTTATCCGAAACTGAGAACAAAGAATGTGGAAAATAGCACGCCAATGTTTTCTTTCTTTGTTTGTGAATCGTGAAGTAAAATTGACAACTTACATAAACGTTGCAGTAAAGCGTAAAATATTGTAATCCTGTTTTTACTTCCTCTGATGCGACAAACGGGTGAAGAATGAAGAAAGTTTTTTTTTCCTTTTAGACAGGTGGAATATTCTTCTCGAATTTAATTATTTTTTTCGATTAAACTTCACTAAAATCATCCTTAACACTGATTTTCTTTTTTCTTATTCTACGAATTAACTTCGTTTGAACTTATATTTATTCCAACTTTCAATCTGGCAACACAAAAATGGATTGATTTTTTCACTTTTTTCGCTACACTTTATATACTTTTTCACGCTCTTCTACTGAATTAGTTTAAATGTTAATTCGCCAAGCAGGTTCGGAGGATATTCCTAAAACTTTGTATACCAATAAGCAAACAATTGATTCTTCCCACAGCTGAAAAATTTGAATTATTTCTCTTTATTTTTGAGCTCCGTGCTAGGCGACTTTCAAATGCTGAATGTGAAGTCTTCGAACGAAAATAATGAAATTTTTGGATCGCTCACTAACACATTGGGTGTAGTTCTTTGTTGTTCGTGCCAACTTCATGAGCAAGTGAGATAGCAATAAAAGAAAACATTAAAAAAATTACGAAAACATCCTACAAACAATGAAAGTTAATGTTCGAGCGTAACAGCAGCTGTCTCTATTTGCTGAATCATAAATTCTCATTGTTTCGAAAGACGTTTTTCACACTGATTCATTCGCTAATACTTTGAGTATATTTTACTTAACTATTCAATTTCAACGTTCCAGAACAAAGTAAGAAAAGTTTTCATTCGTTTCCGCTTAGTCATGATCGAACTTTATCGTTGATGTAAAAGAAAATCGAATGTATTTTTCATGAGCAACCTCATTTTAGCGATCTTTTAATTTCTTTTTTAAATATTTTTATCAATGACCTTGGCAAAGTTCACTCATGGCTTTAAAGAGCCTCATGAATCTACAGATACCCCAGAAAACATCACAAAGTTTTGAAATACGAATCAGATAACAGTAACGTTGAAACATCGTCGAATCAGGCGAAATAAAAAAAATTGCGTCGTACAAGTTTTCAGATACCTCTTCCAATTTGAGAAGTCTTTTTAATGATGACGACGAAATTGAGCAGTTGTTGCTGAATATTGTAAGTATATATATTTTAACTTCGTTCGATGATGAAATATCGTGTAGCTATTTAGTCAGGTGCAATAATACTTACAGAAGGTGAAATAAATAGTCTCGTCTCATATACTTAATAACTAGAACGCATTTAATTAGATCATGATTACATATGTCTAGTTAATATCAGATTATTTACAAGTACATAGGGAGTAATAATTACAAATAAAATAGTTCCTACTTAAATGTGGATACTTAGAAATATTAAGAATATTTAAATACAATTTTTACTATTTCATTGAAATCTGTTCCAGCCCACTTCCGTTTTTTATTCAAAAAAAAAAAGAAGGGACATGGAAATCTAAGAAAGAAAGAACCAAAGAAACCAGACTGAAGAAGTAAGAATAAAAAGTAATCTTAGAGCGAATTTCGTGTGATTTTAAGACATAAAGAAGTGTTGTAAATCATCGAATGAAGGAGCAAAGGAAGCTGAGAGTTTAAATTTCAGACGAATGGAGAGATAACTCAACCTTTTATTTTTCTCATCAAAGCCATGAAGCAAATGAGTATTCTTGAAGTTTGAATGTTTTTCTTTCTTCCAGAGACTCGTTATTGACTTTGCATTTTCGCATCATTCTGTTTTCTCGTGTATTATGACATCATGAATTCACAACTCTGACTATTTACCAATTCAACAAAAATAAAAAAATAATAAAAAGCAACTGAATTATTGACGTATAATTTAACATACGCGTATATGTATGTAGCGAATATTTTTAAGCATACCTAACAAATTCGAAATGGAAGATCACCATTTGTTCGCGAAGTTGAATATATTTCAATTAAATTTGCTTTTGAATTTTCAAAAGAGCCTCTTTTAATCAATCCCTTACACGAGCTCATACAGTAGAGTTCCGATATAGTATTTTTTTTTATTTCGAACAAATTAAATGTTATAAATATTAAATCATGTAACTTATGTACATACATTAGCAGCAATTGACTTCGATGTAATAAACATAAATTTAGCAAGGTAACATTAAAAGATTTCTCTAAAGTGATAGCTTCGTAATATATGTAACTCTTCACACCTATGATGGCCTCAATAATGGAAAAACTCGATAAAATGAATGATCCTTTGGGTATCGCCTTCTTTTTTTTTGTATAGAAATTCATCTGTACATATCGCCAAAGGAGATGAAAGAGAAACATATTCGCTACATTGTATCAGCAACAATGTAGCGTTAAACCATTATAAAAACATAATTGAAGGAACGAAAAGAAAATGTTGAAATACAAGTTAACTAGTAATTTAGTGTTGACGCTACAGAAATGCGAGCTACATGTTCATATATAAAAAGAAACTAACAAAAGTTGCATTTCATTCTTTGTTTCGAAAGAAGAATATTAAAGCATTGAATGTTCATTCATTTTTGTTGTATTATACCACACTACTACAATCAATCGTGCACCTCATTCAAACTTTTTTCTTCTTTAATTCGTCTTATCGAGGAAGCGGAATTACCTTGAAATAAACAACGTTCTCGAAGTGTATGGTAGAGTAAAAAGAAACATGAAACATCGCATAATTTTATTTTATGTATGTTCAATGTTCTATGTTTCCATATCTAAATATTTACGATCGACCTTTGTCTTATCACGATTAACATTAAAGAAGGATGAAATTTGTCTACCCTTGAGTGAAATAATTTAAGGCGAAACTGAACTTCGTGGCGTAATTGTTTTATTTAGACAAGAACTAGAAATAGTGAAATTAATTAATTATTCATTCTACACTTCAAACGACTTAAGTTTTGCGTAATTTTTTGGCATCGTTGCCAGAAGTAAGGTAAGGTAAGTAATTTTATCATTTATTGGTAATCTCAAGGAAGCTTGTGCTGACACAAAAAAACTTGTAGATTGAATGTCTATTTACTGATCAGTTGGCGATCACATGAGCGAAAATTTTCTTGCGACCAGACAAAGGGAAAAGTCAATAGCAAAGTTTTTTGACACAACGAACATTATACGGAAACAGATGACGATGACCAAGAGATTTTGAAAAAGAAAAATTAGTGAAAATTGGACCAAGTAACGAACTCAACGATCAGAGTTTGAGGGTGTAACTGAAAGAAGAAAAAAGTTTGTTTTCCTTCTCTCCTTGAAAAATATTCTCACAAATATTCCGTGTTAATTTTCGCGGAAACGCTTTATTAAAAAATGAACGTATGCTTGATGAAAAAACGTAAAAAAAATCAGATGAAAAATCATACAGACAATTGTTATTGCTTTGCATTGTCATTCTTCCCAATTGAAGGCCACCGACCTTGTTTTATATATTTTTTTTTTATATATATATATATAATGCTTCTTCTTATTATAAATGTCGACAATTTTTTCATTTGCTTCGCATAGACTCCGAACAAAGCATTTCATTTTAATCTAAGTAAAAATAATTTCACTACAACACATGGAGATGATCCTTTCTCACCTGCGAATTATATTCACATCTTTTGTACTTTGGAAATTCCGACCCGTAATGAGAAACAAATTGATAGCAGATACGATTTAATTAACATTCTTAGTGTGAAGTTTTCGAAATTTACTATGCTAGAATGGGACGACAATAAAATGATAATAAAACAAAGAAAGAAGCGGCGGCTGTTTTTTCTTAAGGAATTCGAATAATAATTAAGAAGACAAAAAGCATTTTTAATGTTTATATTAAGAGGTAGGCAATGAAACAATGAATTTCAGATAATGTAACAGTTTTTCACGTCAATGCTGTACGACACATGTAAAGAAACGAGACAAGCAAATGTAATTGATATGTTTCTAAAGGTCATTTAACAGAATCGGCAATAACTAGAATTTAGATGTTTCATATGAAGGTTTCTTTCAAGATGTTTCATATTTTTGATAATTTTGTTTTTCAATGAAAATTACTCACCATCACATTTAGGAATTCGTAAAATAATCGCTTGAATTTTATTTATTGCACAAATGCTGGCTTTTAATATTTTTGTTATTCCGGGAAATTATGTTCCCTCGTTGAGTTAATCGGCCAACTTCACAACAGACCACACCACTTCTTCAAACTGCTGAAAGCGATGAAAATTTTTATTAATTAAGGAACTAGAAGCTTTAGCTCAATTACATGAATAAAATTGAATTATCATCATTCATTCCCATACCCATCCCCTCTGAATAGAAAATTCACTATGGCGAATGTTAAGAATCATTAAAAATGAAATTCCACTATGTTAGGGATGAATAACTAAACAAACGTCAACAACATCCGAATTTAAGCAGATTTTATTACCTTTTTTATATAAAATAAACGATTTAATTCCACTTTTGACGTCTCTTGAGCAAATTTAACAAGATTTTGAATGGTCTGTCCGACGTTTTCGAATTTTACATAGGTTTCGACTTCCCTTTATTTCCTAGACAGCTCCATCTAACGGAATTTATAGTATTAAAAGGAGGGTATACAACTACAAGACTATGTTTCTCCTAAGGACCATTGAGTCACTTTTTAAACAGGATGTCTTCGATGAAAATATGCTCTGAGGCGTCTTCTATCGATTGTCTCAAGACATTATTTTAAAAATTCCATCTCAATCGCCGAGATAATTTCTCACTGCGAGATAAATGCTCACTCTCCACCTGAAACTGCTTTCTAGGGAGAAAGTTTCAGGTGGAGAGTGTATAAAATCGACGTCAACTTCACAAACACTTGTGCCGATCTGACGGATTACATGTGTAAACTAATGTTAGTCAAAAATAATAATTTCTGACAAGATTTACATTGAAATTCAACTTCAGAAAATAAGATCGAAAAGTAATAAATATGAAGGACTTAGAGATTCAAGATTATTTCCTCAAAATAATTGAAGAAGACAAAAATATGTCAAATGGAATTGCCGCTATCAAAACTTTATTGTTGGTGCTGGAAAGAACAAATTGTAAGTTTCATAATATATTAAATTTATTTCAAAACAATTGATTGATTATAATATTATATTTAGTTACGACAATCCAGGAATTGGTAAATACAATTAAATCAGCAGTTTCATCGCTTAAAAATAGTGGAAAACCAGTCACATCAGTTTGTTCTGCTAGTGAACTTTTCATTTGTTTCATTACGTTAGCATCACCAAAGCTTGAAGACAAAACAATGGACGAAGTTAAGACAATCATGCTAAATAGAGGCCAAACTTTTCTAAAGAAACTAGAAGAAGGACGTCACGTTATTGCAAAACATGCAATGCCTTTCATTACTGATGGATGTGTAAATATTTTAAGACATTTCTCTTAAGTTTAGTCAGGTTTTTTTAAACGATTATCTTTTAATTTCAGAGAATTTTGACTCATTCAAGATCAAGAGTTATTTTGGAGACTCTTAAATTAGCAGCACGACAAAATAAACACTTCCATGTATTTGTAACGACGAGTTCACTTGACAACGAAGGAGCGAAGATGGTTGAAGAGCTTAAAAACTCCAACATTGAATGTACACTTATTCTCGATGCAGCCGTAGGCTATGTGATGGAGAGTATAGACTTTGTCATGGTCGGTGCTGAAGGTGTAATGGAATCAGGTGGAATAATTAATAGAATTGGCACTTATACAATGGCTCTCTGTGCTAAAGAGATGAAAAAACCATTTTACGTGCTCACTGAAAGCTTTAAATTTTCACGACTTTACCCACTCAATCAACGTGATCTTCCAAACAGCTACAAATATCCTAAAAACAGTGAAATACGTGATGACTTCAAAAAGATTCATCCACTTGTCGATTATACGCCTCCACTGAAAATTACGCTTATCTTTACTGATCTGGGTATCCTTACACCATCTGCTGTTAGTGACGAATTAATTAAATTGTATTAAAATTAAAAAGCTGGATTTTCATACAAACAAGTTTTTATTTTATTTATTCAGTACGAAAGGAAAAATCAAAATGAAATAATAAAAAAAACATTTTGAGCAAAATTCATAATATAACTTTCAGCCCATTAACCTGACTTCATTTAACTAAAAATTATTCATAATGTCGGTTTAATATAACAACATCTTTGTCCTCACTTAGCATATCAGGATCATCTGGGAAAATAATCAAATTATTGTATGGAAAAATAATTAAAATATTATTTTTTACTTACCCCAACCCCAGAAGTGATCTAAATCCCTCTTCTCTCCCTCATTATTGTTATCTTGAATAAGAAGATTCTTTTTCTTTGCTTCAATTGCATAAGGATGTGAACCATCACCAGTTCGTATCACCCTTTTTCTTATCATATCTTCTGATGTTGTCTTAAGGTCTGTGGCCCAACCTATGAGTTTGAAATACATTTTATTAAATGTCATTTTGTGTTTATAATATAAATATAAAGTTAAACCAACCAATCATTGCGAAGAAGTCAATGAAAATGAGAGAAAAGTTGAACCAGTAGTTGTCATACTCTCCCGTCTTGTAATCCCATGGAAATGCATGCTATAATGTTAGAACAACTTTTTTATCGGAACGAGTTTAATTCTCAGAAGTTATTGAACTCACATGAAAGTTATGCCAACCTTCGCCAAACGCAAGGAAACCGAAGAGATAACTGTCCGTGGATGAATTATTTCTGTAATCAAGATATAATTTAATTGAGTTTTCTATTTAGGTAATTAATGAAAAATTGAAGTTACTTACTTATCGTAAGGACGCATTCCCCAAATGTGTGCAAACGAGTTGATGCTCCAATTAACATGCAATCCAAGCACATAACGAACAATATTAAAGTTCAATGATGCAAAAAGGTCTTCACCCCATGCATAATGTGCACCTAAGACTGGCATTACGAATGCTAACATAATTGAAGTGAACATGTAAATTCTGTGTAATAATTGAAAAAGTAATAAAACATTTTAGAAATCATTTTCGATTAGTATGCAGCAATTATTATAATTACTTTCGATGAAATAATAATGCAGCGTCATTCTCAAGATCACTCATGTCAACTTTTGATCCAAATGTCTTTACATCAGGATGTTTCTTAATCAACAGCCATCCCATGTGAGAGAAGAAAAATCCACGTTTTGAGTTATGGGGATCAGCATTGGTATCGGTAAACTTATGGTGAACTCGATGATCTCTGACCCACTTCAAAATGTCTTCTTGCGCTGACAATGTTTGAAGAAATATTAAAAAGTACTTAAGTGGAGTGTTCGCTCTGTAACATCTATGTGTGAAATATCTATGCGATCCTGCTGTGACTCCGAATGCTGCACCAAGAAGAATTATAAACTGAAGTATGTAAGTGTATGGATGCTTTGGAAGACTGAAAAAACTGTAAATTGTGGCAATGTGAAGATATGTAAGTACGATAGTATTTCTCCATTTTATGTCTCTCCATGTCCACAGAGGTTCTTCTTCATGACCTTCGTGAAGACGTTTGTCAGCACCTGTTCAAATAATCCAAAGTTAGTTTAAGTTTCTTTGTAAAGTCTTATGAAATTCAATCACGCGGATTATAACATTTTAATGGGAAAATAAATTAATTTGGAATTTCAAGAATATCGTCATAGCTAAGCTTAACCATGCAAATGCTAATAATCATTATTGTTATATTGGCAAGCAATTTTTTAAGTTCGATGATACTTGGGATTGTTTTTATTCATTATTCGCAAGCTATAGATGCGCTAATTGAAAGTTACATATATAGTATTAAGTTATTCAATAAACGCTACAATCAAATAACATGCAATCAATTATCTTCTTCTGATTTTCATATATGAATTGTAAATGTTACACTTTCCCTTTATTTTGTAACAATCACTTTATTTAGCAATAACTCCATTTTCTTATTTAAAGTTGATTCATACTCACAGCGATTACTTTCGCTAAATTAACCTTGAAATTTCAAAATCTGAAACATTCAATCGTACAAATGAACTACTACGTTCAATCTAGGGAAATCGTTGTGAAAAAAAATATATATTAAGATGACGAATTTTTAAGTATTTACGTAGGTAAATATGTTGATTACATCATATTGAGCAATCAATTAATTAATAGGACATGAAGTGAAGTAGAGAATAAATATTGTCAGAAGCCACAAATTCTGATACGTCCACTTGAAAGAGATTTTATAAGACAACGCATGAACATAAGTAATTGAACTTTGGATAGTAGCTAAAATATTTCAATCATCCGTTATGCATTAATACTTCTCAATGAAATAGGAGCTCTAGACACTGCGTGACGATCACTCAAGGATTTCTTTAAAATCGAACTTCATTTGAATTCATTTTAAATCTTGCATCATTACTCGTTTTGGAAACGAAGTAGGTATACCTTCGTTAAGAAACAATTTTCGCAATTAAGGTATAAAATTTGATTTTGTTTTTGTTTTTGTGTTTCCATCAATTGAAATCAAATAACAATTTTATCTTACATAATAACTTTGAAAGTTAAAGGAAAGTTCAATTTTGGTGAAAAGAAATTTTTTAACCATCAAATAACTGTTCATGGGGAAGATTATATGTGAAACGTAACAATCATAATTATGTGCTAGTACTTAATATCATCTAATGGCGTTGTTGTCGTTGTCTTCCGCTTAACAATTGATCTCTAAACAAATTTTATTCAATCTTTTTGTGTTTGCTCATATAATACTCCAAAATTTCGTATCCACAATAAATTTATTTGAAGATCATCAAACTACATATGTCAAAAATGATTTTTAAACTTCTGTGCGATTTTGAATACCAATTCGCAAATATCTTCTTTTTTCTATGGAAAGCTTACATAGCTCACTACTGAACATTGGCTTTTAATTCTTCAACAAATAATGCCAAGGTTATTGTCAACAATTATCACTGTTTGTACATCTTCATCTCAACAATACGATGTAGACATAAAAGTTGACGAAGGTTTATTAAATGATGTCTTGTGGGTTTGCCATAAGCTTTTCTTATTTTTTGAGTATTTTTTTGCTTAAAACGAATTGTAAAGTTTCTTAAGGAATAATCCATTAAATATAATGCATAATGACGTATTAAATAATGAAAAGAACCTCTTGAAATATAACTTTCACTGAATTTTTTAAATATTTTGAATATGTAGATAGGAAATTTTACAACACGTATTCATTTCGTTTTTCTTTCTTTCTTTTTTGGTAATTATTTATGAGTTTTTAACAAATTTAAACTTTTTATAATGCACAAATTCTTGTGTTTTACCTTCAATTCTTTTAGTTTTCACTACACACCCACTAGGCCCCGCTTCACTTATAGAATTCGGTGCCATTTCAACTATTCTTCAATCGTGTGAATTTCTGTATTAAAATTTGCTTTTATTTGTCCGTAACTAAAATTCAAATAATTATTTTTAAACGTCTGCAATGGTCCACGGTCGAACTACGAATAACAACGAGCTTCTTGATTCAACAACTGGCATACGTTTTTTTTCTTTTTTTTTGGTAAGTAAACATTTTTCTGCAATTTTTTCTTCTCTTCTCTTCGCGTAGTCTTTGTTTGGTACTTATGAGTTAAGTAATTTTTACAAAGACGAATCTGAATTTACGCGGATTGAAAGATGTAAAATAAAATAAAATAAAAAAAACCCAAAATTCATTGCGACGTAGGTATGTGTAGACATACACGTAGTTCTTTTTTTTTTACATAGATTTATAAGTTAATTGCTTGGAAGAAGATTTAAGTGCTTGTGCTACCACAGAACAGAATTTAAAGGACGTAAGTCTGTTGCCCTGCTTTAAGAGAACATCTTGGGAAAATCCATCAGTAGCAATGATGACCGGTGGTTTGCCAGACTAACGAATTTATTTAAGTTCCAGCAATTTCTATAATTAAAGTTCGGAATAAGTCTTTCCGTAGCAGCTTCAAATCAAAAAATACCATTGAAAAGAAAAGATTCATCTTGTATTTGAAGATCATTCACAAATATTTTCGAGAAAAAAAAATTTAATCATCTGGCCATCAACCTAATGGTAAAATTTCCATGAACTAAAAAATTACCTTAAAATTTAATCTCAAGTGTGACGAAAGCAATTCAGTAATTGGAAGACAATCAATATACTATGTACAACATACCACAAACTTATAAAAAAAAAGATTAACCAATTAAACTGGGGGGATTTCGTCATAATAAAGTATTGGGAAAATACGGGTGAACTTTGACAATGTATGGTAAATGTTGAACCTGCAAATAGTTAAAATTGCGACTTTCGAAATTAATAAAGAGTTTGAAAGTATTAAGTGTACTGGTAGCTTGCCTAGTGTGATTCAAGGTTTCATCTAAAAATACTACTGGCAATGAACAATGAAATACTAAAGACGATTGGAGTAACTCAAAAAAATTAGTATCTAAATATGCAGATATAAACATACATACATCTGCTTAATAAGATGGTTTTAATATGAAAAATGTTCATTTTTGAGGAAAGTTAAAATGAGATGCATCATATTACCTGCTCAAGGTGATGTTGGTAATAAACTTACACGAGTAGTAAAAATGTATTACAATTAAGAAAATTTCTTTGAATAGTTTTTCGTTCAGATTGTTGCATAAATATGCTCTCCTACCTGCGTTTTTTTTATTGTTGTATATTTGAACATTTGATCAGAGGTCTAATTAGTTTTTGCCACCTTGAAACGTGCGTATGCAGCATAACCACACGCTTTTAAATAATTTATAATTTCTTTTATTACAGTTTAAGCATGATTTCGATGTACATAAGATAATTATCCATGCTGAAAACTATGTACTTATGTTGAATAAAATTTCCGCTGCTGTGGTAGAAAGCAATTACATTTGAAGAACGTAATTCCCCGAATAGATGTGTAAAACCCAAAAAAAAGTTTGAAAACAAATTTTGCCGTAACGAATTCTCGATGTGATTTCTTTTTACCACATTTGAGGTGAAGGGTAATGATATTTCAGCATTTATGTGACTAAGCTGTTAAAAACATAACAGGTGAAAGAAATATTCTGTCATTTGTTTGCTTATTTTTCTTGAAATGAACGATGAAGTTAAACAATTAATGGTTTTCAAACTAGATGAAGATATTTCCACAACTTTTATTCTTATATTCCATCAACTAGTTTCGATGACAAAATTTTGTCATTGAAACTAGTCGATGAAACAAAAGTTGAGAAAATAACTTCATCTAAATAGTCTGAAAACCGTAAAATCTTTTCATCATTAAATCAATATCAGACGTAAAAATGATGATGAACATTAGTATGCAACGTGTGCTAACAATAAAAGTTGTATAAAGGTTGTAAAAGAAATTTTATATTTTATTTGAAACATTTATTTAAATTCTTCATGGACATGGAATAAAAATAAATTACCTATACAATATTCTCAAAAAATTCATCTCAAATAAACAAATACCTACCTAAAACCTAATTTTTTTTGTGATTTCTACAGGTGCTTTATTTTGCATACTCAAACATCGACAAGAACTAAGATTTACTACTTTTTAACATACTTTTCAGATCTTTTACAATTAGGTAATTCATATATTTGTGAATACTTGAGAAGGAGAACCAGCTGATTGTAAACCAAGCATGTATTGTTCAACGGAATATCAGTTGCTTTTTTATGATCTTTTGTTTTCCATTCTCTTCAATATACATAAGTTGAATCCCGCCAAAAACCTGAAACAAGAAGTTCTTTTCTTACTACTTTTATTCTTCTTCACAAATCAGCTGAAAACAATGAAGTTACAGTAAGTTGACCTTATTTGAACCTACAATAAAGAAGAAAAAGTTTTAACAGCATTGCAGTTAGCAAATATTCATAAATGAAACTTTTTCATACATTTGTATGTATGAATCTTAAAATGAGAAAAAAATTATTAATCGAGTTGAGGAGATTAACATTGTGAGGAATGAAAACAAATGTTCACATTGCGCAACACCGTTGGTCTTTTGCCTTTTTCATGATGATTGTGTCGCTTGAGAATTAAATTGGCAAATACACGTGACTGAGATTTACAAAATTTACTTCATCATAATTTTAATGGTGAGCTACTTGATAATGTAAAGCTGAAGAAAAAAGCTTACTAAGTTGACACTCGTTAAGTGGATGGAATAAAAATATTAAAAATTCATGCACATGATGCAAATTCTCCAGGAAAGGAGTTCAGTCTGCTTTTTTATTTTATAAAACTCAAAGTTTGTTGGCTTAGTGGAATGTACAGTAATGAAACGATCATTGTGGAAGGGAAACATTTTTTTTTCTTTCGTTTGGATGATAATGGCCTTGATGGCTTTATTTCTTTCTCTCATATATATACAAACACACACAGAATATCAGTTTTATATTTATTACACAACATTTTAAAATAATCTCGAAAGTTTTCGTAGAAGTTGAAGCAAAATTTTGTCATCCATTCCAAATAAAGTAAGTACTTTGATATCAACTTTTTCCTCTTTAAGTTAATATTTACTAATCGAGTACTTTGTGTAAAATTTCAACATTTTTTAAATCATCTTCCGTCATCTCTTTATCACCTTTAAAAGAGAGAAAAATCATGTATAGGAAAGAGATCGTCAATAAGTTTTTCATAAATATTTCTTACCCCAACCCCAGAAGTGTTCTGTGTCTCTGACGTTAGTGTTGTTATTATCTTCTGTTGCCTCAATGTCCTCTTGAGCTATCTTTGCATACTTATGAGAACCATCTCCCGTTCTTAATACTCGTTTCTTCACCATATCAGTAGGCACTGTCTTTAAATCAGTTGCCAACCCTAATTTTTTAAATTAAGCTTTAAACTCTTTAAATTTCAGTTCAACTGCTCAATTTAATTACCTAGTTTAGCAGCAGCATCGATAAACATGGTTGAAACGTTAAACCAATAAAGTGGAGTCTCGGATGTTCTGTAATCCCAAGGAAAGCAATGCTAAAAAGATGAATAATTTCTTAGCTTAATATATGCTTTATGTTGCAACAAAATATTCAATACTCACGTGATAGTTATGCCAACCTTCACCAAGTGCCATTGTGGCTACAATAAATGTTTCTGATGCTGACATTTCTCTGAAAAAGAGTTTGTTACAGAAACATAAGCAACAAAATGCCTTAATTTGTTTCTAACTTATCGTAAGGTCGCATTCCCCACTTATGAGCGCCTGAATTCACCAGCCACACCATGTGCAGTCCGAATGTATAACGGAAAACATTGGAGTTCAAAGCACGGAAAGGATCTTCACCCAAAAAGTAATGAATTGTGATTGGAATAACAAATGTCAATATGAATGAAGCGGGTGTATAGATTCTGCATTTTAAAGATATGATAATTATTTTTAAAAGAAAAGGAAATATTCAATAAAGAAATTATCTCACTTCTTTTGAAGTTGAAGCATCTTGTCATTTTCCAAGTCACTCATATCAATTCTACGACCATATTTGATTACATCAGGATGCTTCTTGCACATCAGCCATCCCATATGACAAAAGAAAAAGCCTCGTTTTGAATTGTGAGGGTCAGCATTTGTGTCGGTGTATTTGTGGTGAACGCGGTGATCTCGAACCCATCGAATAACCGGCTCCTGACCTGACATAGTTTGAAGAAATAGGAGAGCGCCTCTCAGGAAAGGTTTCGCTCTGTAGGTTCGATGAGTAAATAATCGATGTGACCCAACGGTTGTTCCAAATCCAATTCCCACAATCAACACACCTTGAATTATATAAGTCGACCATAGAAGCGGTGGATCGTAGAAGAAATACTGTGAAACGTTTAAAAAGATTATCGGAATGAGATGAATGTTTACATTTTAAATTATTCAAATATGATTTACAATGTTACAATACTTACAATTGAAAATATGTGAAGGTATATGAAGACGATAATGTTTCGCCATTTAAGAATTATTTTGTACTCCTTCTCAACTTCTTCTTCATCTTTCAAATCGTCTTTATCTGGTGCTGTTTGTTGTTATCAAGAAAGTCAAAGTCAAGGAGATGAAATATTAATTTGACATTTATACGAAATATATCATTTGAAAAGTGTCTTAGATCATCTTTGAGTTTATTTTATTTATGCATCTAATTAAAAAGCAACCGGCTTCCAAGGCGAAGGAAATGACCTTGAATTTGTGTTTTTATTAAGTTGACGTTCTTGAGAAAATATTTCTTAGATAGGAGTCATCGAATTGACACTTAATCTGCATAAAGTTATTACGTACGTAAACGGATGAAATTGTTAAAAATGTTCTTGAATTCTGAACTTTTTTCTATTCCTTTTACGAACGGGCAGTAAGGGAATTCAGGTTTCTTTCAAGAAGTAAAAAAACCTGAATAAAAACAACTAATGATCAATTAAATTCAAATGCGTGAGCTTGTCGCATAAGATCGCTCCAAGATCATTGAGACTCTTAAGAGTCTAGAATGTTTCTCTTGATGTAATCACAAAAAAATGTTATGTTATGTTATCACTTACTTTTCATAACTGTTGTTTCAACCGGATCTTCCACGTCTGTACCTTTTGCCATTATTTTATATAAGTTTTTCACTAATATTTGAATCAAACACTGCCAAGATTATGGTCAATAGAAATACTTTTTTTGATAAAACGTCTGCACCATCTGCGTTTCAAATCTGTTATGTGAATATCGAACGAAAATTCGGTCGACTGGAACAGGTTAGACGCTGCTATCATTGTTTTCGGAAGATGAATTTGCATAAAAAAAGTTTGAACTGGTTGTATCAGAGATTCAAAAGCTAAACTTGAATTTTGGAAAAGAAGAGAAAATAAAATTTTACATATATTTCAAGGAAGATTCACTCCAAATTTTACTTTTTTATTTTTTATTTGAAAGTTGTTGATAAGCAGCAGCTTTTCAGTTGTCTATCAATTTTTTTTCGAAAAGCTTTTCGTTTTCATGATGAACTAGGATATTTCGTCATTTTCTAAGATGATTTCAGAGTTGCTTTTCAGAGAAGCTTTTTTCCTTCACATCAAAGAAGCTTACGAATCTCAGCAAACACAAAGATAAAAACTCTACAAATGTTTTTAAGTTTATAATATTTTACTGCAAAGTTTTGTATCTAAAACAGTAAAGACTTTAGAAAATATCAAAAAGAATTTCCGCAGACAATAAAAATATTTTATATCATCACAACAATCATATAAATATATAAAAAGAAACATGAATGCATGGATGAATAGTTTTCATATGACGAAATTAATAGAAAAATTTTTGAAATCTTATTGGACCTTAAATTAAAGATCTGGTTTGTCACGACAATGACATAGGCAGATTAGACGAAATTTTTTTAAAAAAATTATTATTTTAAAGTCAAATTAGCATAAAATAAAACTGCTATGTCATCGAGTTTCATCAAGAAGCGTAACAGCTGTTAACAAATATTTACGTAGGAAATTTAGAAGTTTCTGGATAATTTTGAATAAAAAACAAAATTGAAAATATTTTTTTCTTCGATTTTATTAAAAACTTGTTCTTTTTACAACATTAATGTGCCGTTTTATAAAGAATTGATATATTCTTCATGTCTTCTGACGTCATTTCTTTATCGCCAAATCCCCAAAAATGTTCAACATCTCGCTCGTCAATATTTTTACTATTCTGGTTACTTTCTAAGTTCTCTTTACTCTCTTTAGAATATTTATGACTTCCATCTCCAGTTCTGAGCACTCGAGTTTTTATCACATTATCAGGGACAGTTTTAAGTTCAGTGGCCCATCCAATTTTAGCCATTAAATCTATAAATGCTGTCGATATATTAAACATGTATCCAGGAAGTTCGGCTGTTTTGTAATCCCAAGGGAAAATGTGCTGGTAAAGAAAAAGAGATAATCTCGTCTTGTAATTTTAATAATTCATATTAATTACGTGATAATTATGCCATCCTTCTCCCAAAGCACAGAATCCAACAAAGTATGTATCAGTCGGCGATATGTTTCTACATTAAAAATATTTTAATAAAGAAAATACAAAATAATTAAATTTAAAATCATAATTTCTTACTTATCGTATGGTTTTGGTCCCCAAAGATGTGCAACTGAGTTTACCATCCAAACAATGTGAAGACCTAGTAAATATCGGTAAAGATTGCCATTCCATGCAACTTCAAATGACTCCCCGAAGTAACATGCAAGGATACACGGAAAAGCGAATGTACAGAACAACATCATTGGAACGAAATATCTGAAAGTTATTATAAACAGGTTTAACAACACTGAATGTTAAGTTTAATGTGACGTAAATAAACACACTTCGCTTGAAATTGTAGCAAGGGGTCACTTTCCAAGTCACTCATGTCAATCTTTTTGCCTTGTTTTATAACGTCAGGATGTTTCTTAAGCATCAGCCAACCGATATGAGAGAAAAAGAATCCTCGTCTTGAATTGTAGGGATCAGCATTTGTGTCAGTAAACTTATGATGAACTCGATGATCTCGAACCCAGCTAAGACCCGGTTCCTGTCCAGCCATTGTTTGTAAAAATATCATCAAAGCTTTAAGTTTTTGATTAGCTTTAAATGTTCGATGTGTAAAAAGTCTGTGGGATCCGACAGTGGTTCCCAATCCAGAAAGTATTCCAACAATCCATCCAATAATGACAGTTGATCGAACTTTAGGAAGCATAAAGCCATGATAGGCTGCATAGTGGAGATATATGAAGATTATGACATTCCTCCACTTAATGTCCCATTTGTAGCTGTCATTTTTATTTTTAACTTCTGATATACGATCATTAGAGTCTATTTGTAATAAATTTGTTGTTATTTTCATCGACATTGAAATGTTTCCTACATTCTTACCGATAACTTTGTGTTTTTCAACTGAAGAATTTTCATCGAATACGCTGTAATTCATTCCTGCATTCTCGGATACTGGTGGATCAGCATAAAACTTCATACTTTTATTTGACTATGCTTGTATTAAATAAAAAGGATTTTTTAAAGAAAATTAGAGAGCAGCCAGTATAAATGCACTTTAATGATTCTTTTTTTGGAATGAATTAAATTTGTAAAGTTGTATAATCGAATTTTTGACTAAAGAAAGTTTTGGAAATGTTTCCATGTTGGAACAATAATATGAAAACTTTACACATAAAGTAAGGCAATACATATGTATTTATTCATATAAATATGTAGGTATTAATTAAATGAAAGATTGCATAAAAATACGTAAACTTTTTTCGTTATTTTCGTTGTTCTTCTTATTATTCGACCGCAAATTAATTTTCAATATGTAAGCACTTTAAGGTTTAAATTTTTTGAATTTGAAAAAAACATTTGTCGGAATGTTACAATCTAGAAAATTCCCAAAATCTTCTTTGCAATGAAGCAATTATAAATATTTTAAAAGTCGAATTATATAAAGTAAAACGAAATTTTAGACACATACTCAGTCTTTAACACAATTAATTCAACTTTTATAAAATTTCACTTATTTATTTTTAGACTTGTACACAGATCTGCTAGTAAACTATTTTATACTTTTTTTTATTTTTAAGTTACGTTTTTCGCACCCGTTAACAAACGCAGTCTTTTGTTGAATGAGCTTGTTTCGGAACTGCTCAATCAAAATCTTTTTGAGTTTATCTGAAACCAGTTTAAATTTTTTCGGAGTTGTGTAATTTTTCAGATGGTTTATCGAATTTTCTCTTTACACCTAAGCTTTTATTTAATACGTTTTTGTCTTGCAAGAGCTTTTTGTGCATTCATTACATGCTCACATGCTATAAGTCGATATATTGGAATGGATAAAGGGAAAGCCTGAAATATTCTTTGTCATTTAAATTAAAAGAATAAAAAATGTATTTTGACCGAGTCATCATTCCTTCTTAAATAATTTTTCGTTTTCTTTCTAGAAATGAGAATAAACATTGAAAACATTCGATGTTTTTCTCATTCGAATCATATCTTTTGTTCAAGTAGCAAATGAAAGAAAGAAAGTAAAGTGAAAAAATCTTTTTTTCTTTTATTTACGCATTCACTTTTTTCATCTTAATTTATAAAAAAATTGAAAGTTACTTATAAAATATCTCAATGAACTAAGGAAGAAATAAAGATTTCAACCATGAATTTTACGAATGATTTTAACTTTTTTCATATCTTCATTAGTCATTTCATTATCTCCGAATCCCCAGAAGTGAGTTACATCTCTCGTCTCTTCTTTGAAATCTGTCTTGATCTTATTCTTGGATTTCATGATCTTGTGTGTTCCATCACCTGTCCGCATTACTCGATTAAATATCATTTCTTCGGGAACAGTCTTCAAGTCAGTGGCCCATCCTTAATCAGAAATTAACACCAATGTTAACATTTTATACATAGGAAATGAAAAACAATGAGTGAACAGTAATTTACCTATCCACGCGAAAAAATCAATGAACATCGTTGAGAAATTGAATGTGTACGTTGGAAACTCTGATGTTTTATAATCCCATGGAAAACAGTGCTAATTTGTCAATAAGATAAAACCTGTTTTAAAAAATTGTTCGTCTTTGAAAAATGCTAAAAATCTCACATGATAGTTATGCCATCCTTCGCCAAGAGAAACAATGCCCATAACATGCGAATCTGTTGGTGACATATTTTTATCAAATGGCCTATCACCCCAAAAGTGGGCCACTGAATTGACACACCAGACCATATGCAGTCCCACAACGTATCTGAATATATTTCCATTCCATGCTACTACGAAATATTCACCAAACGAACAAGCTAGCCAAATAGGAAAAACGAAATTTAGAAGTAACGCAAGTGGAATATAAAACCTAAAAAAGTTATGAAAAAGAAATTTGTTTAACTATTTCAAGTTCTTTGTATAAGTTCTTTGACTTCAATTACTTTCTTTGAAACTGCAGAACAGGATCCGCTTCAACGTCGCTTATATCCACTTTAGCTCCATACTTTTTAACATCGGGATGTTTCTTACACATCAGCCATCCCATGTGGGCAAAGAAAAATCCACGTTTTGAGTTATGAGGATCTGCGTTGGTATCGGTAAATTTATGGTGAACTCGGTGATCTCTCACCCACTCGATCATATCATTTTGTGTCGCCATAGTTTGCATCATCATTAATAGAATTCTTAATGGTAAATTTGCTTTAAATGTACGATGAGTGTACAGTCGATGAGCACCAATAGTTGTACCTAAACCTTGACAAATTCCGATTGCCCATCCAATAATAAGTGAAGAAGTTTTCTTTTGAAACGTAAAACCATATAATGCTGCCAAATGTAAGTATGTGAAGATAAACACGTTTTGCCAACTTATTTCCATTTTGTAATCAGTTTCAGCATCATTCGAACTTTTGGAGGAACCTGTTTAGTTTTTTTTTCAGATGTGTTTTTTTGAAAAAAAATAGTGGAAATATTTTTTTAGCATTTTTAAGAAACAGTACGATCAAATCAATTTTATACAATGGAATGCAATAAATTATTCTGAAAATCATTCGAAATAGTTTTTGGTTGCTTCAAGTGAAACAAAAATTTCAGATCTCAAGATTTTTTTCGCAACAAATTTAATGTCTGCCGGTTTCGTTTCCTAAAATTCTTTTATCTTAGGTCCCTATTACGTCAATCAATAAACTTGATCATTATAAACTTGTAAGCATGTGTGACTGGAATCACGTTTAAAATCAACTCTATTAAAACCCAAATGTCTGAATATTTCCGTTTAGTTTTCATTTTAATATTTTTGTCAAGCATAAATCTGCATAAAATTATTACTTGCAATTTTACATTTTTTCATGACACAAGCTTGTCACAAAGAGTCACTATTTATGTATTTGATAGACACACTAATGAAAATGTTTAATGCATAAAGGGATGCATTGTTAAGGGTTGAATATATTTATTTCCTTTAATTTTCAAAGCTTTAGTTTCCTCCAACTCCTCATGCTTGAGAATTGATTTCAACTTCAATAAAGCTTTAGTTTTGTGAGCATTGCACCTGTCATTCGTGGAATTGATCATAAACTAGTTTGAGGCAGTTTTTTGTCTACCTCCGAAATTTTCTAGAAAAAAATATTTTTATGTCTTTCTTCTTATGAGAAAAAAAGTTTAATTTTACATTAAGCACAAGCTTGTTGAAAACTTTAATTTTAATCTTCGCATTATTGATAACTTTTTCTTATCGATGACTATGCTTAGACACAGACAATTACTTATTTATAAAACGAATTAAATAATTAACTTACCTTTAGATCCTTCTTGTTCAACATTATTATTTGTATCTTTCACTCTTTTGGAGGTGCTTTCAAATAGCCCCATAACCATCCTTAGAATCAAAAAACTTAACAAAATTTTCAAAAAACAAATTTTCTACTTGTTTTTTTAGAAATTTCAGAATTTCTGAGCTTTATTTTTTTTTTTTTTTGTTCTGAACGAATTTAAATATGAATTCCCCAAATTTAAGGACTCAATTTTTTCTCCGTGATTTTATTGAAACTCCGGATCGTTCAAACGGATGAGACGAACTAAAACTAAGATTGAAACGTCTTTCCAACAAATTGCCATTAATTAATTTTGTATCTTTTGGCTAAAATTTAAGAAAAAGATTCACAAAACCTGTTGGTGTTTATTTATGTATTGATTTTTCTTTAATATTCAAATATAATATAAAGCAATATCTTTTCTGAAGCAAGGTTGGCTGTTTTGGTATCAAAAGCAGTTCAAAATGCAAACGAAAATAGCTTCGTACACTATCACTTCGTAGATGGCTGCAGAATGACGAAAAGCCATAGTAGAAAAATTAATATTAGATAGTCTATCATGAATTAAAGATTTTAAACCTCATAATCTCATATCATGACACACATGTCTAGGTCTGCTGTTGAAACTTTTAAAGAAAACCATTAAAAATTATGAGATTAAAAAGCTAAACGAAAAATATTTTAACTTGTAAGAGTCAGTGATTCTTTCTCTTTCATTTTGATGAAACTTGCGCATAAACTTGTTTCTCAAATTCGAGTACCTACTTAAAACTTAAATAGCGACGAATTAAGAGAGGTTTGCAAAATAAAAGATGAGATAAAGATGAGAAAATTCAATGTCATTTCTTGCTCGTAACAATGAAGTTGTGTTGAGTTTCTCCTTTTCGGAAGCTCTCAGCCCTGAAGAAATTATAACAAGCTTAATGCAATTATTCAAGTTTAGACCAAGGCTTAGACGATGAATCCAATAAATTTTATTCAAACAATAATTTTATAAATTTTACACACTTTTGTAGAGAATTTTAGCGTACTTCCTGTCAGCATCTGTCATTTCTTTGTCATCTAAATGTTTGGAACGTTTTCATTAGAAACATTAAATAAGACATGAATAAGTTGATAAATTCAATATTTTACCCCATCCCCAAAGTTCACAATGAGGCTCCTTTTCTTCAGCAAAATTGTTATTTTTATCACTTTTTGATTTCGCATGTGTACCATCTCCAGTTCTCTCCACTCTTTTCAATATCATCTCATCAGAAACTGTTTTCAGGTCAGTGGCCCAGCCTAATGTGAGATGAATACAAACTTTAACGATGACAACAAACAATGCGTAATAAATTTACTACGATAACAACTTACCAAGCCAAGCAAAAAAGTCAAGGAAAGCGAGAGACAAATTACACCAGTAAGTTGGAAGTTCAGATGCTTTGTAATCCCAAGGAAAAACGTGCTAATGAATTATTCGAGAAACACATTAAATTTTGATTTTGAATAAATAAATAAGATTAGAAATAAATTGATGAATAAATAAATAAATGCATACGTGATAGTTATGCCATCCTTCACCCATACCGAATGTACCAATCCAATACGAATCAGTTGAAGAGATGCTCCTGGAATGATGAAATTCAACATAAGATTTCCATCATTGAAAATGTAATCAAGAATTCTTACTTATCATAAGGTCTATATCCCCAAAGATGTGCTCCTGAGTTAATCATCCAAACCATATGCAAGCCGATCATGTACCGACATATGTGACCATAATAGACAACTCTGAATGATTCCCCTACTAAGCAAGCTAACCACATTGGCATAGCAAAGCCGAAAATGATCGATAATGGCAAATAATATTTATGTTGGAACATTACGAGTGGATCACTCTCCAAATCACTCATTTCTATTCTAGCACCAAATCGCTTCACGTCGGGATGCTTTTTGCACATCAGCCAACCAATATGAGAAAAGAAGAAACCTCGTCTAGAATTGTGAGGGTCAGCGTTGGTGTCGGTGTACTTATGATGGACACGATGATCTCTGACCCATTCATACATGGAATTTTGCACTGCAATGGTTTGCATGAACAGCAACAAAAGACGAAGTTTTGTGTTAGCTTTGTATGATCGATGGGTGAAAAGTCGATGAGCTCCAACTGTCGTTCCAAGTGCAGCTGTTATTCCAATAACCCATGCCATGACAATACTCGACGTTGTTGTTTTGGGAAGAGTGTAACTGTAAAGAGCGCAGCAATGAAGATACACAAAGATAATAACATTACGCCAGACAATTTCCATTTTATAATTATCATTTGGATCACCAAAAATGCTTGGCTTGTCGAGCACTAAATTTGAGAATATTTTAAGATAAATTTACATTGTAACATTTTTTTTTTTCATTTTGTTTTATTTAACACTCACACTTTTCATCTTCACTTGACTTCTTTTCATCTGCTTTCACTTTTTTTGGGGAAATTCTATCCAACAATTTCGTCACCATTGCGAATGATGGAATAAGAAAATGCAAACGCGAATTTAATTAATGAATTGTGCTTTTTTCAATTAAAATTGCATTTCTTATACGTTGACGAAACGACGTTATGTTCTTTCACTGTTTTTTTATGAACTGAACTCGAATATCTAATTACGATGTTATCAGAAATCGAAAATGATGATGTGATATTTGCTACAAGATATTTGGTTTTACAATAAAAATAATATTTCAGTTCGCACTTCACTTATTGTGTGTTGCTGACTTAACGTTCGCGCACTTACTGCTTGAAACATTCCCGAAAAATTTAATAAACCCTTTTTTCAGCGCTCTCAATCTTCTCCCATGGTATTTTTATGAAAGTTGTTCAAGAAGTAGAGGCTATAACACTGTAACAAAAACAACTTCAAAAAAGCTTTCAATTAGTATTGACGCAACATGTACCAGGTCCAAACATTGCGATATAATTTTGACAAGAACTTGTTTTACAACTAAAGCCAAAAGCACCCAAATTCAAGTTTGTTGTTACTTTCATGATTTCATCACATTGATCAGACGGCTCTGTTTTAAATTTTAATTGTGTTAAATAATTAACTCGACTTAGTAAATTAGCAGCAACAAGATACTATTCCTCTCAAAAGTGATGGTGATGTGTCAGACATGAAACGATGTTCTGCTTTTGTGATCTCTATTGCTTACAAGATTTGAGTCATTGTGCTTGGTTTTAAGTTATGTTATGATTTTCATAATAGATGGAAAGATAAATTTAAAGTTAAATTGATTATGTCATCAATTATCAAATATCTATTAAAATTTTTTAAAAATTTTATTTTACATAATTGTGTCGATTCTATGCAATTTTAATTATAAATAGAATTGAATAAAAGTTTATGCGCAAATAGAATTAAAAAAAGCATTCAAACATATAACATTGGTTGACTTACAAATTAATGAATTGGAATTATGGTCCAAAGTATCCTTGTACAACGAGTTAAAAATTTTTGCTACGCAAATATAAATTTCTTCTTTTCATTCCTTGTTATCGTCGTCATCAATAGAAAATAAGAAGTTGAAATGATATTGAACAAGAATAATTTATTATGCAACTTGTGTATTTTTGCCTGAGTGCAAAAAAATATTATCCTCGATCAATTAAGCTTTACGTTGCACAAAGTCACAACAATATTATTCATCATTTACGGAAATAAATGTGTGATGCTAATTAAAATCAATCTATCCTGAATTTGCAAACCAAATTATTTTTTTCCTATTTTATATTCCGTCATTATTTACACGCAAATAAACACAAGTTTATGAATTTACATAATGAAAGATCTAGAAATGTTTTCAAGTTTATTTGATTTAAATTGTAAGTTACATAGATATTTGTTTTCTTTCAAACTGGAAATGCGTCAACTCTTATTTCTTAAGACGTATATCAATAATGAAAATTTATTTAAATTGTGCAGTAAAATTATTGAATCAAAAAAGATATTGACTGAAAGATATTATTTAGTATCAAAACGACTTAATGGTTCATGACTTTTGATATTAAGAACATCTTAAACATTTATTAATGATTAGATGATTAGTTTAGCTAAGTATTAACGTAAGCTCTCATGCGAAGAGGACTTTTTTGGAAATTTACCAAGTAAGTTTAAATTTTACAGCTTTGTTGATTTTTTGTTGAAATAAGAATGCAAATATAAAAACCTTTTTTTTTGTCTCATTGTTCAAGCGTCATAATTCTTTCTTCCCGCTTAGGAATCAAACATTTCAATCTCTATTTGCTTTTGCATCGTATTTTCATTTTCAAAATTGGGTTCTCCATTTCCAAAAAATAAACAAATCTATTAGTCGATTGAATCATTTTAAAGTATATACATGGCTTAAGAAGAAGAAAATAAAATGATGAACATTTTAAATGTATGATGTCAAAGTCATCATCAATTAAGAAAATAAAATGCAAATCATTTAGTTTTATATAAACGGAAGTTTTGGATGTATTTATCTTAATTCGCACCAATAAATTAGCAACTTTGTGGATATTTGCACGAAGCCTCAAATTCAAAAAATAGATTCATTCATACATTAATTTATGATGCACACGGAAAGTATCCTATTTGTATATATTCAAGTTTCGATGTGATTGTTTCTTAAAAAGACTTGTAGCTAATTTGTGATTAATTTATTACTGAACTGACCTACATATTTTTTTTTAAATAAAACTTGAAGTCTACCTTATACTGCTGATATGATGTGAATATGTTAATATTCAAAATTTGAATAAATATTTTTTCAAAGTTTTCATATAAGAAGCTTTTGGAAAATATTTAATATGTAAGAAATTTGCACCTAAATGTAGGCAGCATGCATAACGTTAAAGAAAACTCTTTCAATTAGAGTAATCATCTGTTTAGATTTGAAGCTAGAATAAACATATATTAAATCATGTTGAGAAGAAGAAAATATGAATAAAACACATAGTTGAATTAATGTTTAATTACTTTTTGTGTTTATTATTTTCTATAAACAACTGTATAAATACATACATATATACATACAAAGAAGTCTTAAATGATAATAACCGTAATCATTCTCGAATGGGATGAAGATCGTTGCCCATACTGTTAATATTACTTTTTTTTGACAACAGACAATCAACAACTGTGAAAATTTCATCGAAGTGTGGTCGTCCTTCTGGATTTTCATCCCAACATTTCAGCATTAGTCTGTACATTTCTAATGGAGCTCCTTCAGGCATAGGCATACGATATCCTGAATAAACATACATTATATTGAGAAATAACATTTTAATTTAAATCCAATCACCTTCATCAATCCTCTCTCTCGCTTTTGAGTTACTCATTCCTGCATAGGGTGTGCCACCTTTCGAAAAGATTTCCCAGATCAACACACCATAGCTCCACACATCGCATAGCGTTGTGTATTTACCAAAATTCAATGCTTCGGGCGCTGTCCACTTGATTGGAATTTGTTTCATACCATCGGACACTTAATTGAAAATATATGTTTAAATTCATTTGCTTAATTTAGGGAATCAAAACAAAGTAAGCGTTATTACCAATATATTCTTCTTCTTCTCTTGACATTCCAAAATCTGAAATCTTTACAATGTTTTCGACTCCAATCAAGCAATTCCTCGCTGCCAGATCACGATGAATACAATTCTTTGATTCTAAATATCTCATACCTGAAAAATAATTAAAATTTTATTGCAATTTACAAAATATTTTTGATGATTGAGAGTCACTTACCAGCTGCAGTGTCACGACACATGTTCATCATTCGACGTTGATCTAGTGAAGCTGCGTTTTTCCTAAGGAACATCAGAAGTGACCCACCTTCAACAAGTTCCATCACAATCATTATTGGCTGCTTTTTCACGCAAATTCCAATTAATTTAACGATATTTGGATGATCATATTGTTTAAGAATTCTTCCTTCTTGAAGGAACTTTCGTTTTTGTTCATCAGGTAGAGTCATTCGACAGGTTTTCACAGCGACATCTTTTTTGGTTGATCGTAGCTTGGCTTTATAAACATCACCAAAGTTTCCCTTCAAAGATAATTAACAAAAAATGTAAAAACGGAGTGAATTTATTTCAAGTTTTCATGTCACTTTACTCTGCCAATTTTATCCAACAGAATAACGTCATCGTTGCTAAGTTCCCATCGTTCTCTTAATACTGGTTTCTTCAATATTGCCCCACTACGACTTGTAACTGGAGCTTCTGATTGATATTGATGTAGGATGAGTTCCTGGATGCTTGGAAAACTTGGACCTTCAAACCGGAAATGACCCTAAATGGAAATAAACTTTAAGTTTTCATGCTTCGCTTTATGATTTTTCATTCAAACCTCTGCCGTTATTTGCACAATGAAATGTTTGTGTCCATTCCAACAAACACTCAACACGGTTTGACTTTCGTCGTTACGTGTCGTTTCTCTGACAAGAAAATCTCCTTCAAGTCTCAAAAGTCGTACAACTTCTTCTCTTGGTAGAACGCCATGGAACCATTCTTCTTCGTAGAGGGGTCGATTCGTCGCTATTGTCATCTAAAATATAAATTAAAATACAAATTTTATTTCCTCATTCATCTTAGATAATCTTCCGAAAAGAAATACCAAGCTCCAAAAGCTTTGCTTTAATTTTTCCCTTGCTGACGGGGCAAAGTTCTTAAAAGGTGCAAAAAAACTTGTGAATGCGAGTTTATTATTTGCTTTTCTTCCATTTTTAAAATGAACAAGTTCAAATTGTTCTCGATCTTTTTCACACAAATTCAATGTACTTTGTGCACGTTTCTTTCGTGGTGGAGGTTTAGGTGGAGAAGTTTCGAAACTGTTATCTTTACTACTATCAACTACAGAAGATGAACAAGAACAAGAACTAAAGTCAATGTCTGCCGCCATCCAAAAAACAACATTAAAAACTGATCGGAAATGAAAATTTTCTTTTCATTGTGTGATGGCGGAGATTTTGAAGATGAAAATTTCCGAGTAGAAAATAAAATTTTTCTCAGAGTCTTTCTCAATATTTATGTTTACCACAATACGAGAACATGACTGAAAATGTATTTCGGTCATGTGTAGGTGCGCTAAATAAAATAAATACCTACAAAAGAGACGAGTAAATTCGTGTCTTTGGAACTTGGAACTTCTTCTGGGATGCGCCGAAAACATATTAATTTATTTAACACAACTGAATATATAGAATAAATATTATCTTATTTATTGTCAGTCGTTAAATTTCACTAATTTCGTGTCTACGAAGCAGAACAAATTTATGAAACATCACACTTTTGTAATATTAATTTAAGCTTATCGATATTATTTCGTTAGTTTCATGTCGTACTTTTTAGTGAATGCTTGTTAATTATTGTGTTAATTTAATAATAGAATAAAAGAATATGCGATTATTATGGAAACACTTGTTGCTTGATATCAAGCATAGAGTACCGATAAGATTGAAAATTGGATTCATGCTGTTTATGGGGAGTTTTATGATTTTTATGTTGCGATCAAACTTTTCAATTATCATCATAGCAATGGCGAAAACATACCAATGGACAAACTATGAGCAAAATCTGCTTTTAAGTGCTTATTTCTGCGGTTACGTTGGACCTAATTTAATAGCTGGAGTTGTTGCAGAACGTTTCGGTGGAAGATTTCTAATATTTACAGTTTTTTTCTTATCATCAATCATCACAGTGTTGTCACCATTTACAGCCAGTAGAAACATTAATCATTTATTCTGTGCACGTTTTCTTCTTGGAATTTGTGGTGTAAGAACGTTCAGTTATAACTCAACTTTAAATGTTTCTTATAAACGTTCTTTAGGGTTTCTTTTTTTCTACATGTCACAATCTCATATCAAGATGGGCACCTCCAGAAGAGAAAGGAATATTCGTGTCGAGCTTGCTTGGATCGAAACTTGGAACAGCTGTTACTTGGCCTTTAATGGGAGTAATAATAGAAAATTTTGGATGGCAATCTGCATTCTATTTGACTTCAGTATTTTCACTTGCATGTGCAGCCATTTGGTTGAAAATTGTTGCAGATTCTCCAGACAAACATCCCAGTATAGCATCAGATGAGAAGGAATTCATTGAGAGGTCGTTGAGTTCACTGTTGACAAAGAACAAGAAACTTCTGCCGATGAAGAAAATTTTTAGTTCCGTTCCGTTCTACGCTTTACTCTTCCTTCATTTTAGTGACGTTTGGGGAATCTTTTTTCTTCTCACATCAGCTCCAATGTTTATGAATCAAGCATTGAACTACGATATCAAAAATGCTGGGATTGCTTCAGCACTTCCCTACATAGCACGATTAATTTTTGGATTTTTATTTGGAGCACTTGGAGATTATTTCATGAAAAATGGAGTTAGACCAACAAAACTTCGAAAACTTTTTTGTGTCTTTTGTGGGTTTACAAGAAATCATAATACAGGAAACATATTTAAATAATTCTTTTTTACTTTTTAGCGCATATCATTCCAGGATTACTTTTATTTGGATTTTGTTTCGTTGGCCAAAATCCTTATGTTTGTATTATGCTTATGACGTTGTCCCTTGGATTTAATGGAGCATCTACAATGACAAGTGCACAAAATCCTCAAGATTTAGCACCAAATTTTGCTGCAACTATCTTTGGTTTCGTAAACTTTTTCGCTACAATGAGCGGGTTTATATCTCCGTTAGTTGTAAGCTACTTTACTCAAGAGAAGGTAAATATAGATCAACACTTTTATCAGTATGACTTTCTTGTTTATGTAAATTTAAACACAGAACACAATTAATGAGTGGCGAATGGTTTTCATTCTCGATGGAGTTCTTTACATCACATCTGCGATAATTTTCATTCTTTTCGGAAGCGCTGAAGTTCAAAGATGGAATAAACAAGGCAATTATCATAAGGAACTGATGAGTGCATGATTTTGCATGCTGTTTATAAACTCATGCCAATAAAAAAAGTTAAGAAACTCACATCTTTATACTCAAAATTTTTAATGCAAATGCCATCATCATCGAACTCATTATAAATATCATCGCAAACACAACAATCATCATGGAGGAGTGCTTCAGTGTGAAAAGCTTTATCAAAGTCAAGAACAGCTTTACTAGAATGTATTCGAGAACCGGTGGAAGGAGAATTGATTTTCTTCGAGCATCGTTTGCAAAAGTTTGATGTTTTACTTGTTGAACTTTTTTCAGCATTCTTCGAGCTAAATAAATGTTTTGTGAAGTTGAATTTAGTTTTGGTTTTTGTTATTTTGTCTTTCTTATCAGCTTGATGACTTGCATCAGTTTTTATTTCTTCAAAATCGTCATCAGTCTCGTCTACATGTTTCTTCTTAAATGTTGAAAATAAACTTTTGCTTTGCTTTGATTTTTCTTGTGGCTTCTGATCTTTAGAGAACATATTTTTAACACGAAACTTTAATGATTGCTTCATTTTTCCTTTCACATTTCTATCATCATCATCATCATCATCATCATTATGATAATTTTCATTACTGATTTCTTCTTTTTCCTTCATTAATTCATCAAGTTTACTGTCAATAAAATCTAAATGATTATCGATATCTGCCATCATGTGATCGTCAATTAGCAGTAAATTATTTTTGGAGCAATTTTTATTGGAAACATTGTCAGCATATTTCATCAGGTCGGCTTCTGTCACTTCAACACATTCTTCGAAGTGATCACATTCATTGATAGTGGGAATTTTAATGACTTTCAATTGGTCAATTGAAGCAGGTAAATTCAGTGGGATTTTAACACTCTCAGAAGCTTTGTTAATGTCAACACCACAAGCATTATTAGCATCATCAATATCAGTATAAACATTTTTATTATTTTCTTTTGTATTATTATCAACATCAACAACAACGTCAACACACTCATTGTCTTCATAGCTATTTACCGCTGATCCCAAACTTGATTTTGATCCCCTACCGCTTTTCGGTGTCGTTGATGATGAACGTTTTCCATCACCTTCAATCGTTATTCGTTTCCTTCTAAACGGTGTCTTTAAAAGTGTCATGAAATCGCCACCTTTTTGAAGTAACATCGACATATGCGTCGTGTGCGTCTAAAGATTTTTTATTTACGAAAGAAAATGTAACAAAAATTCCAAAGCACCATGTTAAGAACTAAATTTAAGTCTCATTCATCAATCACCCATCACTAATTAATTAACACTAATTAACTACTCACCATTTGTTCACTGCTAACAAGATTGTTATTCTCCATCTCAACCGATAAGTCATCACAGCCACTAGGGAGTTCTTCACAGGAGACTTCATTTAATGCTGATCTAATGATCTCTACCAGCTTATTTTTCTGCCTTTCCTCGCACTTTAAAGAGCTCAGTTCCTTGTTGAATCTTCAAATTTATTAGATCACGAATAATAAAGAATGAAAGCGAAACACAAAAACTTACTTAATGTCTTTCAAACTTCCACCATTTCCATTCATACAGTTCAAGGATGTGTTGAGAGAATTATTTATTGGTGATGCCTGACTATTTGATACTGATGGTGAAATCTTTCCATTACTATCATTTTGAAGCTTATTTTGTTTTTCCTGGCACTCTTTTATTGCACTCTCGAGATCAGTGATTCGTTGACGAAGCCAATCGACTGTAAGATTATCTACGGTTAGTTGGTTCGGTTGCAGCTTTCCAACAGTGTCTTCAATAAGCTGGTCATCGAAACGGAATATCACTGGTAAAGCTGACGACGATCTAACGTGGAAATTAAAAAACTTTCAACATGGCCTTGAAAATTTATTTTTTTATGTCAATCCACCAACCTGTGCTTCTCTGTAAAATCTCGATATTCTTCAGTAGGATTCACCGATTGCAAGGCCACGTCAATTTGTTTCTGAATGTCAGCGTATTTGTCTGAAGTGAGATCGGCAAAATTCGAGGCTTCCACTATTAAGTTTTTCCTGTAGGAATTTTAAAATAGAAAAGAAGATCAATGCCAGTTATTTTTCTATTTTGTTTTGTTTGGACAGCAGACGATAAATTGTCTTCTCCATTTTCATGGTCTGTCAAAACGTGTTAAAAAGTTTTTTTTAGTCTTGTATAATTTACCATGTCGCGATGAACATTTCTTGTTGCGTTTGATGATTCTCAAGTAATTTGGGCCATAAAATCGTTCGATAATCCTTTTCAACTTCAGTAGCTTCATGAATAAGCAAAACATATTCGTTGTGAGCAAGATGAAGTTTTCTGCAGGCTTTTTGATATTTATCTCGAACATCGTCTAACTTACGACCAGCTCTACCAGCTGAATATTTCGATGGAAATAAATAAAAGACAATCATTAATCACTTCAATATGATTTAAGAGTTGAAAAACTTCGACGACTCACATTTAATATAATGTTCTTCGAATCGCATTCGTAATTGCTTATAGTAGTCTAAATGCTTTTGATATTCAGCCTTTTTCTTTTGATACTCTTCAGTTAACTGAAATTGAAAATAAACAAATTTAAATTAATTAAAAACTTCATAGAATTGCGAAGAAATCATTTATTGACTAAACTTCTAAAGTCCACATTGGAAGCATCATCTAGCATTATGTTTGACGACTCTCGTATAATGTCGATTGACTTGAAAGAAATTTCCTTACTTATCGTTCAACAACTACAAAAGCAACAAATGTTGATGCATGCATCAAAACCGCGAAAGTTATTATGATGTCAAATTACATCACTGCTGAAGCGAAATTTTTATTTCTTATTCGTGCAAGTAAAGTTTAAATGACTTACATCTGAATAACAATATTAACAGCAGAAAATCAATATATAAGTCAAAACGAGTTGAGAATGAAAGTTTTAGTTTAAACGTTCAATACTTAATTATAATATGCTTTGTGTTGAGCGTTAAAATCCTCGACAGATAAATCACAATCTTCCTTCTTATTTGGTAATAAAAGAAATAGAAAACAATACGGATGATCACAAAGCCAAATTTGAAAAAAAAATATAAAATAAAACCAGATAAACGAGAATGAAAGCGAAACATAATCTCACACACATAAACGTGATTACTATAGCAATCGGCTTTGATTTGACCGAGTCGGAATCACTACTTTCAACTACTTTCAACACAAAGAGCACTGACGGTGATCATAAATTCGATTCTTTTCCAAGAAATCTTCGGAGATATGTATCTTGCCTCTCTTTCAGTCTTTTGTCTTCAGTTCTTGTTTATTTCTTGTAGCGAAGCGCCTCGAGATGGAAGAATAAGAAAATGTTCTTATAAGAAAAGAACAAAGAAAGAGAAAAAAAAGTTTAAAAAGCAGTGCAAAGGTAAATTTCATGAGAAATCTTCAGGTAATTGGATTTGTTTATGGAAACGCTTTTCGAAAGGTGAACAGCATCAGTAAGAGGCTCTTGATGTACGTATTCATATTTATACGTGTACATACTCGAAGAAAAGAAAAATTAAAGGAAAACAGGAATTTCTAAAGGCTACAAATAGGTGGATAGAAATATCTACATACATATTTTTACTTATTATTCCTCCAGTCTCAGATCATTTGACTCTTTGATTGTTTCATCTTTCTTGAAATCATCATTCTCGATGTGATATTTTCTTTTCTTTTCATTCTTTCATCTCTCGTTTATTCATCTTTTTTCTTCCATTCAAAACAAATAAAACAAACTTTGAATTCTCGAAGTTAAGTTATGAAAGTAGGATACCTGTTCTCACAACAACTTACTTGGTGGTGCAAAAAGAGTAATGAAAACAAGTTAAACTTGTGAATGTTGGACGTGAAGAGAAATCTTTCTCTAGGCGTTCGTTCACAAGACTTGCGGCATTCAAATTAAAGATTATGTTTTTGTGAGTCGCAGAGACTTAAATAAATTTATATAAAAAATGTCTGGTTTCGTCTTTCTTTCTTTGATGATCTTTACAACTTTAACATTGCTATGAAAGAAATTAAATTATTGTGAAACGTCGCTTTTATAGCTTCCACTTAATCACATAAATAAACGAAAAAAGAGTCCAAAGATTTAGCTGCCTTTAAATCGATTCTTTAATCAGAGTCCAAAGCATGAAGACTGGGAAGATCATTTTCCATAATTTCTTTGCCGCTACGATCTCATCACTTTCCATGCCTATGATGAGTATAATGGATAGAAAAGTTGGATAAGAAAATTATACGGTAACGCTGATTTTCGGTTTGAAATCAAGAAAATTATTATTTTGTGGTTGGTTGAATTAAGCTGTAAAATTTGTTGTACTTTTATTAATTCTCAAAAACGTTCTTTGATTGTTGGCTATGATCGAAAGAGGCTTCAATTTAGACGCCGCTGAGTTATGGTTAATGGAATCATTTTTTTATGTGAAAAGGATCGTTCGATGAGTATAAACACAAAATAGTTATGAAATGTGTGAAATGAGGTTTGAGTGTGAGAAGAAGACTTGATAGATATTTAAAATCTCGATCGACGTGAAGACACAGAACATCTCCTAAATGTCTTTGAATTTATGTTAAATAAATGTTATGCTAATATTGTGTTCAACAAACTGAAGTTTTTGATAAAATTGATCACTTATTGAAGTCTGTTATTTGTTGAAACAAATTTTAATAAATTTAAAAGTTCTTTAAAATAAGTAAACGTTACTAACATTTACACAGGTTCAACATACATAACCAGTGAAGGAATTAAAAGAAGTTTTTTCCCTATTTCTTTATATTTTCTTTTCATAAAGAACGTATGATTCGATTATAGATCATGTGGTTAAGCCGTATTGTCTTTCATCAGCGATTTCAGTCTGGAAATTGAACAATAACAGAGAACATTATGGAGTTTATAATCTCAAAAATTTAAATGAGTTTTCTTCTTTTTTCTTTCATAATTCTTTAGATTTTGAAGAATTTTAGTAATTGCACAATAAATAGCTCTGATGAAGTCAGTGGATTAGAATCCTTATTCAATACTAAGAATAAGCTGGAAGAAGATGTTTTAACTAAGAAGATTTAATTAGAAAATAGTCAAATCTAAAGTTGATTGAGATCAATGATCTTGAAAATTTAGATTTCTGAATGATAAAAATCAAAGATTTCTTTTGGATTAACAGTCTTTAAAGCAAAACCTGTATCGAAAGTTTCTGAAGCTTATGAAAATTCATTCTGTGAAGTAAAATTCCAACTTTTTCATTTGGCTGAGCAGTTTTGAAAGAGAACGTTGCTAGCGACAAAAAATGTAAAAATTTCGAAAGATTTTTTCGTTGTCTCGATGAAAATAAAGCTCAACAATCGAGAATTGACTTTAGAACAATAAAGCGTATAAAATAAATCATGACTTGTGTCCAACTTAACTTTTAAGTTTCATGTGAATTTCAATCATTGCTGAACTCGACTTTTTGAATCTTCACTTTTACTTTTTATAAAACATGAGATTACATAATTTTTTCTTTAAAATAAACTTTTTTCGAGATGAAGAAAAGAAACAGAAATACAAACGCTCTCGAAATCCAACTTAATCAATCTGGTGGTTTTATTTTTAAACATTAGAAATTGTTGTATTGTCAGTTTATGTCTGGTTTCCTCTTTACTGCATGTCTGGTACAAAGCTTACACCACAAACAAATCAAAACTCTTTCAAACTTCACAAGACAACAGCACTCGAGTTTAACACTACCTTGAACCGAATGTCGAGTGAGTTATGGGTTGTTAGTTATATTGAAACGACAGCAAACTGCTTTAATGATTTCTTTTTTTTTTTTCTTTTTCAAATCTTAAGTCGAGCAAATCATGCTTCTCATGTGTGTCAGGCAAGGAGTGACAGCACTTTTCTAAGTTCCGTCTGTGACTTGTTTCTTGCATTATTAATAAACCAACATGCCTGCCACATTGCATTAAAAGTAATTTTTTATTTTATTGAACAGTTTAGAATATCAAATAATTGAGTTGATGAAAAGTGAATTTCAAAGTGATGATCAACTTTCAGCAAACATTATGAAGATGTGACTGATAATGTTTTGTTCGAAAGAATCATAAAATTCAATGATTTTGATTTGTCTAATAAGCTAAGGTACGGAAAATTTAAAGGCAGATCTGTCTGACAAGTCGACCTAATGAAAAACACACGAGACTTGTTATTAGATTATATTATATACCCACACATCTCTGCAAAGATAAATGTAAATATCTAACTGGCATAATTTCTAATGTAGAAAAGAAACTTATTCAGCGCTTCAATGGTAAAGCTTATTAAACAATCGCAATGTCGTTTATTTCTTTCTCATGATTTTCTGTTGTTTACAATGACGCATTCAACAGATGCGATTTGGAAAATAAAAAAGTGTTTAAAAAACTTTCTCACCAACATTCACCGTTTACTTGGTCTTAAATGGTTGACACATTTTTTTTTCTTTTCATTCTCATTTCATAAGATAACAGCAAGAAACGAGCAAATGGAAGACATAAGAGAGAAAGGTAAACATGCAGAAACAATCAACCTGTCGCTTTGAAAAAGGAAGCGCATAATATTAAAATATTATGGAGAAGAAATGAACAACTTTGAAAAGTTACGAGTAATTTGTTTTGTGGCATAATTTAATTTTCACGTTGTGTCGTCGGTTCATTGACGAGAATGCTTATTATTTAGTAACTTCGTAAACTGTTTCACTGCTTGAGAAATTTTACCTCATTTCAACGAGTCTGTGTGGTCTGTCAATGATTGCAAATTTTTGCGAGAATTTTACGATAAATGATAAACAAATACATCGCCACATTAAATGACTTTTTATTTTTTTTCTCTTTTCATGTCTTGCCGAGTGCCGATCGTTTATAAAAAATAAAATACTTGTAGAAAAAATGAAACTGAAAGTCCTACTACAGAAAATGTTTTGTTGATTGATACAATAATAATTTAAAAGTAATTTTGGAAAAAAAAACTCTCTAACACTTTTAATAATGACAGAGATTGTAAGTAATGTGGGAAATTTATTAAAAATATCTACTACCAGGTTTGATGTTAGAAATAAATTTATCATAGAATTGAGATTATGCATTTTCCTTGCAGCTAATAACAATTTGTCTCAAAGGAAAAGTTTATGAATCGTAATGAAACGTAAGTTCATTATTATTCTTGGAAGTCGAAAACAAGCAATCTTCTTAAAATAATTTGCCAATTTCATTCGCCTTACTCATTCACTTTTTATGTTTCATTCCCAGATCGCAAGTAGTTCTTGTATGATACATTTGAACAACAGGTTAAACCTGCTGCAGTAGTTTTCACCTCACTGGGGAACTTTTACATCGATATCTTTTTGCGTTGTCTTCATTTAGCGAAAGGTTAGTAAACTTTTTTCCTTTTCTTGCAAGCAACCAAGAGAATGCCAATATTTCGTACACAACAGTTGATGATTTCAAAAGCAAGGCGCGGTGTTTAATACATATAAGACGATGAATGAATGATGCGAAAAAGCCACGTACAATACATTTTCATTTATCACTACTCAACTTGTAAATAATCGCACTAAATATTGTCAATTACTGACGATATTTAAGTGAAAACTTTCGTAAATAAAGCGTAGAAATTTTCAGCGAATATATTTTTGACGTTTTCCAAAAAAATCGATTGAAGTTATTAGTGAGATTAAGCAACAAATTAAGACTCTGAAAGATAATCAACAAGTGTATTTAGTGCTGCATAATTGCTTAAATGCATCGAGATTCTTTTATCGGTGTGACGTACATTTTTTATGATCTTAATCAAAATGTTTTTGAACTTTCAATTTATTTCGTGTTTCTCAAGGATTTGTAAATAAATTTAAATCGGTACAGAAACTTGTACAATCATTTCTCAGGAAATTTCAACATGAAGTGCAGATTCTGGATACAATAATAAGAAAAATCATTAAAAACAATTCAAAAGGGTGAATGTCGACAAATGTTACATAGAGACAATGAAGACCATAACAATACATCGTTGATGAGTGTCATGATTTGGATTTTCTACCCAAACTAAAATATTGCCAATGATTTAACTTTAGAACGAACTAAAATGAACTTTCAAAAGCTTTTTACTGAAACGGGTGTTGATAATTATCGATTTGAGTTTTTGAATGAATGAAATTCAACTTTCCTTTTCTCAACTTTCCTCAATAGATATTTAGTTTGGTGAAATTTTATCTTTTCAAAACTAAATCAAATCTTTCAGTCCATCATTGACGAAAAGCATTGACGAATTAAATTAATGACAACCTCAACAAATCGAAAGCTTTTTATTACCCTATGATGTTAGTCACTAATTAATGAATTATCTGCAATTTGCAGCAGACTTCTTAACGGAAGTAATTAATTGAATAGTTTCTTCCGCTTTTTAACTCTCTTTGAGCAGATTATCCCAGTAAAAGAATTCAGTGAGCTTATTGTGAATGCTAAGCATTTATCCTTATCAATTTAATGACTATAAATTATTGGTCAATCGATTTTCGCATAATCCTCTACAAGATCTTTGAAATATTTATAAAATAGGGAATTAAATAGTTAACAAGATTGTCTTTTCCAATATAGAAACACAGACGCAAAATAGAGTAAAGAATGCGGTAAATTTATTTATAGATCGCGTGAAAGTCGCTTTTGAATCGAGAAAAGAAGAATTTTCTAGATTTGTCACAATTATTTTTGTACTTTTAAGAGTAATTCAAGTAAGGGTTTTATCTATTAATACATACTAGTAAGTCAATTTAATTTCTTTTTCTGAAAAGTTTCTTTGTTCACTTTTACTACTTTTTTACTACTAAGTAGAAATAAGTGCAAAACTTTTAGAAACTTGAAACGACTTCTCAAACAAGTATTTATATTTCTAGTTCTCTTTTTCCTATTTCAAAAAAGAAAAGAAAAGAAAAATCAACAGGAAAATTCTCCACTGTACGACATGTGTTAAATCCCAAGATCTTGTAAATTTAAACGCGGCATCGTGTTCGAAGTTTGTAAGTCTAAATATTTCAAAAAAGTATTTTTTATCTAGAAGTTGTGTGTTCTTACACCATCGTATCTATTTTAACAAGCACAAATAAGTAAACAAAACTTTTTTCATCTCTAAAATTTTCTTTAAAAAAGGTGAAATATGAAGAAGTTGAAAAATTATTTTCTTAAAATTTTTCAAAACGAATTCAAAATCGACATGTCTAAATAAATGTGTACTGCTGCTCGTGAAATTTTGAAGGTCATTTAATTCATAAGAAAAAAGAAAGAAATTAACTTACGTGGGCAAATTGTGATGCAACTTTTGCATGCTCTTCTTGGTATTGTTTTCTTGATTTTCTTTTATCTTGATACAACTGAGTCATTCGATCACTGCATAAATTTTCCAACTGTTCTGCATTGAATCGAATTTGCTTTGATTGCTGTTCTATTTCGTCCATGAATTTTTTCCAAGCTTGAAATATTTGACTTCCTACACGTTGCGCAGATTCGTGTGTGGCATAAAATTGAAAGCGATTGAAAAGAAAAATAAACATAAAAGTTCGATATTAGCAGTTATCCATAAAGCATAAATTATATAAATTGATATCAAATAAATGCAGTTTTCTGTCAGAAATTATAAATGTCGTACAATAGACATTTAAAATTAGAACATAAGTTGTCATAAATCACATTTCAAGTGATTAAATTCTCACTTTTGTGGGACACATGAATAAAATAACGATAATTTCCAGTTTGTTACCCATTTATACCGTTTCTTCCCAGATCTCTTCTTTGTTTCGTGCGAAGCTTAAACAGGTACAACAATAAGCATATCTTTGTTTACTTCACAGTCAACTCTCCCTAATCGAAAGTTTAAAAAACATTTCTGAGATATTTAAAAAATCTTAATGAGGTGCAACGAAATGACGTTTTGTCTCATCTTAATGTGAAAAGATAAATTGCATTTCAAACTAAAGATCTTCATTATAAGTATTTCCTTCAGAAATATTAAAATTTAGAAATTAAACAGAGAAAGGAAAGGAGACAAAGAAAAAAGAAACAACAAACCGGTTCGAACCTACAACAAACTTGTTGAACATTTTAACACGTTTCGAATGAGAATTGAAACGAAAATATTGGTTTGTTAATGGAGATCGATCCAAATAAGAGTAGCATTTATGGAGACAGTTGAAGATGGCACAGTTCATTAATAAATGTCTTTCAATAAAAAGATTTGAATCGAATCAAGGTTTTTGTTCTGTTTTCAAACGATGACAGAAGCTTGAAAAATCAATTTAGAGCAATTTACATGTCTAAATTCTAACAAATTTTAATAAAATTGTTTTTATTATTTTACTTACCGGCTAAATCGTCGCTTCGATCAATTTTTAAGCCTGTTTGTGCAACGTTGACTAATGCTGTCGCGTAATCACGATCACATTTAGCTTTTTGCGATAAGCAACGACGCATGGTCTCGATAAGACGAATTTCAGCGTCTTGACGAGCTAACAGTGCTTCATGCACTCCTTTTCCTTGCATAGCTGAAAATCCCATTGTTGTATAATTTCCCGAAAATATTTCCAACACAAGAATCTTCTAAATTTTATTCTCTTCTTATTATTCCACTGACTTTTTCACACATTCAGCATTTTACATTTATTTTTCACTTTCAATTCATGTTTCGATAATGTGCGAAATACACATCACAGCACTTATTCGATTGTTTAACTAAAATAAAGATATCCATTGAAAAGAAGAAAGGTTATTTTAAATATTATAATATTAATAATAATTATGAATTCTTCTTTCCACATATCAGTTAACAATATTAATACAATGATTTTTAATCTTAGGTTTTTGTGGTAAATATTTGTGTATGCACGGTTAACTTTTTATTCACTCAATTCAGACTCCACACGATCTCAAAGTAAATGGTCGTGTCGTCAACCGCTGAATGGCATATAAGCAAAATTCGTTTTATAAGAGATCTCGAAATAGTCTTAATTGAAAAAATAATTGTTTGAGTTTAATAAGTGTGACATTTTGCATTGACCTCTATGCAAAGTTGTGATGTTGTTATTGTTGAAAACAGCAATACATGAACATAGTATTTCTTATTCCATTTAAAATTAGCGCATGATCTCAAAAATCACATCAAAAATTCTTCATTTGTGCTTTTCAACTGCGTGCGGAACTCAAGCCAAAGCCAATTCTTTATTCCACTCGAAAATCGTGTAATAAAATAAATTAAAATTCTCGATATATCGTCACTTTAAAAATACTTCGTTTATTTTGTTGTTCTCAATTAATTTGACCGTTTTGATATGTTTTTTAGCAAATATTTTTTACAAACTTTTTAATTTGTTAAAAAATGTCCATGGAAAAACTTATCTTTCAAGCAAAAACATGTGAAAAGCTTCATTTTTCGATAATCATAAATAATTTCACTATGAAGATATTTTTTAGATTATATTCACTTGTGTTTACTTCGAGAAACACACATACGCGTTACATTCCTCGATTTGATATCGGGAAATGAACCAGCACACTTCGGGTTTTCATTTAGTTCATCATGTGCTTATTTTTCTATTCTTGACTTAATTACAATTCCAGACTTGCTGAGATTTCAAAATTCCATCTCTACGTAGATGAAGTAAAATTGATTCAAATGAAGCTTTTTATTTATTCAATGATATTATTATGAAGATAGAAAGTTAACCGTATGATTTATTTTTAATTATTGCCATCAATTATCAAAAGGAATATTAGCAAAAAAAACACGGAAAGACGACTCAACCTTTACTTGACGCTATTTAACTTCTTCTGATTTTTTAAAACTAATGACACATCAGTTGCACATGTTATTCCTTAATAATGTTTTCACTTTTATATTTTTTCTTATTTATTATTTGTCTAAGATATTTTAAGATATTTATGTCTTCTTTTCAGTATGTATGTCGTGTTCATAAATATTGTTTCTGATATTCTCTTTTCTTTATACTAACACAAATTGCCACTTGTTTTGATTTGCACGATTCGATGATAAGATAAAACGAATATTCGACACAAACAATGAAAAATCAACTTTTAAGTAGAAATCTTGATTTTCAAATATATTTCCAAAAATTAAAAGCGACCGGACGATAAGAGGTATTGACTTCGCGACTTCTTGCTCGTTTCTGAGACAAGAAAATGAAAACACTGACTTCAAGAAATCAGAGTCGATTTTAATGTTTTAGGGCCGGACAGAAAAACAATCGATCAAACATCAACGAAAATTGAAGGCAGGCATTAACTAAGAGAGGTTTGAGTGTCACTGGTGAAACAGTTTGTACATCTTGTACAAGTTTTTAAACTTCAAATGAACGTTATTTTATACAAGTTTTAAATGCCAATTCAACAAATCAAGAATTGTCTAATGAAGTTATGATCTTTCGCAACGAGTTTTTACAATTAATGTCGATATCTTTGAAAAAATATTCAATGAAAAATTTATGGCGCTTTAATAATTTGCAAAGCTTTTCAGCGTGACGTCGAGTTTCTTGATTTTTGTCCAACAGAAATTTAGCTAAAGTGGTAAGCACACGTTTTCTTGTGCGTACATTTGAATCAGAGCCAAGAATTTGTTCAACACCAGCATTTTTGCAAATCAAATGAAGTATTCTGGCAGTATTTGCTCTCACAATAGAATTTTTATGATCTGGCCCTTTAGCACAAACCGCACGAACGCTATGTTGAACATTTATACTCGTTGCCATCTTATCGATAGCAGTATTTGCATCTTTTCGAATAAATCGATTTGGATCAGCACATTTAGTCAAAAGGATATCAACAATTTCATCAAATTCTGGACGTCTGGTACATTTAGTAACAAGAAAGAAATCTCCAGCAGTTTGGCATGCAATACGACACAATTGTGATCGAGGTGATTTGATGAAATCAATGATTTTCCGGCTAATGATTGGAATAAATTTTTCTCCCAATTCACCATCCCACTTGATATTAATCGAAATTTTTGTGAAGTCTTTCAAGCCTTGGCTGCAAACTTCCCTGCAGAACATAATAAAATAAATTTAATATTATTGAAAATTGTTGATTTAGATACCATTCACAATCCTGAAGTTGATCAACAATAAAATTCATTTTCGTGAAAATATTTCCTTCACATTCAAGTCCTGTTTTAAAGGAACAAGATGATTCTATTTCCGAAGTATCTAATTCTGATGTCTCAGTTTTGTCTGAAGAAGCAGGAACAGAATTTTGATTATCTTTCTCAATGATAGATTCAACAGCGCGATGACAAATGTACTTAGTTGATGGCCTCAGAAGTTTTTTTGTGCAGAATGAAAGTTTTTTTTGTGGCAAAGATCTGCAAGAGCAAAATATCGTTTATAAAATTGAAGTGATTTTCGATTATTTACAAAGTGTACTTCTGTTCATTAACTACATCATGAACGTTTATTGCTGGAATGTAATCGGCTAATTCGAGATCTGAATTTGGGAATCCCGATGGATTAAATTCATTATATTTTGAGGAATTATTTAAGTCTTCCACATCTCCAACCGCATAATTGTTCTGATGTTTGCTGACGCCATTCTGAACACGTTTTACTAGATTCTTCACCGAAAATAATTCAGATGGCATTGACGAGGGGCGTTTTAGAAGCTGGTAACTATTTGTTTCGATCATCTTGGAGCTAGATAACTTTGTAAGACTTGTTTGCGTAGATTGATCGAATCCTTGCTTTGGAAACGACGAGATGTGGAACGATTGGTTTAAATGGACAATATTTTGTTGGTGACATTTTATTGGTGCGATTGAAAAGGATTCCAGTTTAGCTATCTGAAGTTTTTGTATTCCTCGATTTTTCTCCATTGCCTTCACTAGACTGTACCGAGACTCATCGTAATCTTCCTCGATTGAAGTCAAATCAAACAAATCACTCTCACTTTTAAAAAAATTTAAATTTCCAATATTTTCTTCGGAAGTTTCTTCCCGATTTTTTGATACAAAAATGCTTTGCACTTTTATGTCTTTGTTATTAACTCTCTGTTGGATGGAGAAAATGATTTATTAGAGTATCAATTAAACAAAATTTTCTCACAAAATTCGGATCCAAAATAACGGCCTTCTTCATTTTTTGCTTCAGTCTGTTTGGTAAAGTTCGTTAATGAAATAAAGAAATGAGAGATCAGTTAATAAAGATAGTGGAAAAGGATTCTGCACAAATATAAAAATTCAAGAAATATTTTATTGTTCTCTCAATATGATTGCTTCGATCAGATACATTGTTCATTTTTTCATGGTCGACTGTTTAATTAGTGATCTATTTAGATTTTCGTCTAATTGTTCTAATATAATTATTAAAACATGACAGTATGAGTTACTAGTGTACAATACAAGCTGATGTCACAATTCTTGAAATGTTTAACTTTTTAATCATTTGAAGGAACAAAAGAATGAACGGTGGTTTCGATCATAAAGATGATCGACCTTTAAATGAATTCCCATTTTTCGTTCTCATCATTTTTGATGATGAAGATTATATTTGACAGAAAATGAAGAAAAATTATTATAAGAAATGAAGAATGAAGGGTAAATCCTTTAAATAATTGGTTATCATTATTTAATGAAATTTCTTCTGCAATTTTGGAACGGATTACTTTAGTAATAATTAATAAATTGTTTTAAAAGCGTGAAAAGGATCATCACTAGTTTGCAAGCAGCACAAACACGATGCAGTACTAGTAAAAAGTCATAATAATTTATCGTGTTCGAGCTGAAATTGTCATTCCACACCTTGTCTAGTCGATTTCTGGATATTTTCTGGCTAACTGTTCACTCTTAAAAATAACCAAAAGAAAGAAGACAGTTTAATTCCCTAAATTTAAGAAAGAAAAGAATATTAAACTTATGAATAATGATCATCTTCTATCGTCAAGTGATGATTTTTAGGAATTGTGAGGTATTCATTCTCTTTGTTAAGGTGATTGAACCTTTAATTCGTTACATCTGTTGTTATCCGAATGTTGACCCTTTGTAAACAACTTACATCGGTTTAGACTTCATCTTAACATGTGAATTTATTTTAATTATACAAAAAACATCGAAAGTGACAAAAATTGAACTGACAAAACTCGAAATGGCTCATTTAACCAGCTTTAAAAATTCTTTACTAGTTGTTAAATGTCTGTTCATGTTGTTTCTTTCGGCTTTGAATTTTACTGTTGAATTGCAAGACTCCTTCCAAAAAACTAAATTGAACTTAGATCAATAAGCTTCCATAAACAGACATAAATGTTTGTAAAAAAATAAACAGTAAACATAATTAAATAAATTTTTTATCATTTATCTATTCGATAAAGAAAATTATTCTTGCGAAAGTGCAACGAGTATTTTAATCTTAAAACGTGATTATGGAGAGTTTCAACGAACACGAGTGTCTAAATATCATCAAATTCTAAAATAAACATTGCATAAACGGTTGCGTAATAATAAGAAAATTCAGTGTTTTCGTGTTTATTAGAGAGTTGGTTTATGTTATTTATAAGATATTGACCAAGAAAATGTGCGATTTTTGATAATGCATCATCTTGTTCGAGCGTTGATGGTTGTCTATGTAAGTTTAAAAACTTGAACCATCTGGTGAGACAGTTGAATATCGTTGTCAGTCTTTCTTTTTCGCTCGATGTGGTAAGATCGCGTTTGTGCGCAGCACAATGGATAAAAAGATTTGTGATCATAAGGTTCTAGCGGAAAATTGTATTCCTTTAATAAAACATTATGTTAATCAGAATCAAAATCAGAACAAACCAATGACAATAAAAGGTCGAACAGTGTATAATTGTAAGTGTCTGGAACTTGTTTAACTTTGAGACTTACATAAAATATTCGTCACAATTTGTACTCGCAGTTCAAATATTTAAACATTTTAGTGAGCTACTTCGAAATCAAATGCCTAATTACCATACAAAGACAAAAAATAAAACAGAACGGGTAACACAGATGTTTAGAAATTTTTATTTCCTCATACTTATCAAGTTCTTCACGTCATTGAATCCATAATTAATATTAATAAAGAACAAAAATTGTAACTTTAGTGGTAATAATTTTCTAAATATTCCCAGACGGCAGGGAGACTATTTGGTTAAAATTATGTCTTCAAATAAATGTGACACATTAACAAGCTGGAGAAAAGAAGAAAAAACTCTGATCAAATATCTGGAGATTTGACAATTTTACTGCTTATTTCAATATATGAATAGTTTCTTCATAAAATGATAACTTTGCAAATAAGCAAAACATTCAAAGAAAAAGTAGACGAGATTTAATCAACATCCAAAACCAAATATAATTGTTTTCATTAAATTTTATAATTACAAGTCTGTTTGTATACATCATGCTCATTTTAATCATAATGAAATAAATCAATCAACGAACTCTCCCAAAAGCTCCGTAGCAAAATTGATTTTAGTAAAGTGCTTAAAGCGTAACGTAAGCGGGCTTGTTTTCAGAATTTATTTCATTCTTCTGTGATCGTTAAACATCATCTATAAATGTTTTGAGTTCAAAGTCCGTCTTTAATATAAGCAGTATTTTATTTTAATATTCTTTTAAGGGATGTCTTTCGCATACATTATTCAGTTGAATAGGAGAAATAAGTGTTTCACTTTGAAACGGTTCATTATTATCGTCAGATGTAGGACTACCTAGACTTTTTAAAGTTTAAAGACTTAAGTCAATAAAACTGACACTATACTTATCGTTTTATTATGCATCCAATTAATGTTTAAGATCAATCGAAATGTCGTTAAGATAAAAATAATTTCCACTTCATACCACAATGGAGTGTAGAGAACTTCTGATATTTAATTATAAAAATAAGTACAATTTGAAACGAGAATTTTTTGTTTATTTATAAAAAGAAGTTTTGGCTACATTAGACAATAAATTTAAATATCTTTCTATAACAAATTTCTCAAAAACATTTTTTTAAAATGTGTGAAAACTTTTATCTAAAGTCTTGCGATTTATTCACATTAACTTTTTCTCCCACTTTGCAAAACGAAATGTGAAAATTAGCTAAGTACATATGAGTTGATTCTACTTTTCTATTTTCCATTTAAAAGAATCTTGTGTTAGGATAAAATATTGATTTTGAAATATATTTCTTAATACAAATATAACGATCATAACATCAATTTAATCATATCTAATTACCTACGTACATAAATATTCTACTCTTGTAAGTAAATACTTAAATAGCACACTTGGTTGCATTCTTCATTTAATTAAAGTCAAATTGCTGTTTATCTAAAAAAACATTAATAAGCAATTTGTTTTTATTTCGAGAATCATCAATTTTCTCGATTTTAACAAGCTTCAAGCACAGGAAGTATTGAAACGTACTATCGACTTTGAGTCGATGTTCTGGTAACTACTTGAATTGGCGATACAAATCAATAAGAATCTTTCATAATAACATTGCTAATCTTCTACTTCAACTTATTTTTCAGCCACACATCTTCTTCTAAATATTGTTTTCTTACTGCTTTCGTTAATGACGTTTATCCTTTTGAACTGTACAAATATTTACAATCGTGTATTGATTGAGGTAAGTCAACCATTGAGTCACGCTAATATGTCATCATTGAGAACTATATTGATCACTTCTTTTTTTAACAGAAAATAGTTCTTTATAATAACTCTGAAATGCTAGAATATTGGGCACATCCACCTGTTGATATAATAATAAAAGTCCACGTATTCAACTACACAAACATTTTTCAAGTTCTGAATGGAACCGAGAAGAAAATTAAACTTGATGAAGTTGGACCTTACGTATATCGTGAACATATCGAGAAAACTCAACTTGTGTTTGAAGATAATAAAATAACATTCAATGTAAGAAGAATTTGAATACTACCTCGTCAGTATATTTCTCATAAAATTTTATCTCAAGTTGAGAATCTCAACTCTTCATTCATAAATTTTTTAAAACAAAGTGTCAGTCATGACTTCACACATAACTCCACTTTCCCCAAATAGTATTTACTCATTTAAATATGTGAATATATGAATAATTTTTATGACGTATTTAACACACTCTTTTTAGGAAAATCGATCACACATCTTTTTACCTGAGTTATCTGGAAATTTCCGTGAAGACGATGTGGTAATCGTCCCCAATTTGCCACTCGTCAGTGGAATTCCCAACGTGAAATCTCTCGGTTTCTTTGCTGAAATTGGATTTAAAACTATCCTTGCTGCAACCAAGCCGAGAGAGTTTCATAATTTGACAATCTCAAAATATTTTATGGGCTACAACGACGACTTCATGAATGTAATAAGTAAAATTAAATGGGACTTTAATCCGAATGACGTAGGAATTTTGGCTCCAAGAAGAGGTATGACTAAGAAAAATATCACAGTTTTCTCTGGGACAACAGATGTTAATACTGTTGGTGAAACATTTGCACTTGGTGGTAAAACAATGCTTGACGTTTGGAAAACAAAAGACTGTAATAAAGTTGGGGGAAGTGATGGTGTAATTTATGGTCCAAAATCTGTTCAAAACAAAGAGAATTTGCAAGTTTATCTCCCTGAGTTTTGTCGTTCATTACCTTTGGTTTTTAATAAGGAAGAAAGAACCGAAGAAGGTTACAGGGCATATCGCTACATTGCACCACAGGGTTCATTTTCAACTTCTAAACCTCACCTTGAAAATGAATTCTATTGCGAGTTAAAGAATACAAAAGAAAAGCAAATTGACGGAGTCTTAGATGTGTCTGGTTGTATTGATGGAACTCCTCCTATATTTATTTCCCATCCACACTTCATGGAAGGCAGTGAAGAACTTTTTTCTAATTTTGAAGGTTTAAAACCTAATGTTACTTTACATAATTCATATGCTTATATTCATCCCAGACTTTCAGTCCCTTTACATGGAATATCAAGGATGCAATTAAACATAAAACTTAATCATTTAGGTAATTTATATAAGAATCTACCTGATAATATTATCTTGCCTCTTGCTTGGATCGAAACAACAACAGACAAGCTGCCTGCTGAGATTAAGACTAGATTATTTCTTTCAACTGTTGTTGTTGACTTTATTGAAAGTTTTCTTAAAATATTTTCTTTAGTAGTTTTCTTCATGTCATCATTTACGCTTATTTATTGTAATAGAAATATTCTGAAGCATTTAGCCAAATTTATGCGTAAAACTTTCGATTTTCCAGTATCTGTTTCTGTGTGATATCTTAACTCAAGATTGCCATTTAATTTAACTTATTCTTGTTCACAGCATTTATATTTAACACATTAGAAGATTCCTCTGAAATCCTTTCATTCATGAAACAAAATAATAAACTTTAATCTCCTCTTTAAATAAATAATAATAAAAATATGTATACGTGCACTCCCTACTTTGATGAGGATGATGCTACATATATATAGATATACCTATAGATTTAAGCTTGTAAAATATTATTTATAGTCTATTTTAATCTGTATGAATGATTAAATTATGAATAATTAAATCCTTTTGATACCTTTTCCAAACTTGGGCGCCCAAGAATCATCAATGCAATTTTATTTATTAATATAACCTCTACGTAAAGCAAAACAAAGATAGCGACAGTAACCCATTTAAGATTAGAAGTGCCACAAAATGATGATTGATGCAGAAAGATTCACTCTAATTGATTATGGTTAATTTATTGGTTGATTGAATAAAATGTAATAAATATTTATGACATGTTTGTAAAACTACCCATTTAATGTAAATACATACATTATGCTCTCTAAGTGATATTCAATTTTAATTATTTATTCAGGAGAGAGTATAAAAATTTAGTAATTATTAATTATTTAATTATAAATATTATTTATTCTTAAAATTAAAATACATAATGGTGGTCCACCGTATTAAATTTCAAATTGTAAAAAACAAGAGTAAATAAATTTGCTACAATATTATTATTATTGTCATAGATGATTGCTTGGAGTACACAAAATATGTCTGCTGAATATTTAATTAGATACTTAAATCGCCGTTTTATGAGAAATTAAAAACATAGCCCTGATTTAAAGCATCGACGAATTTCTCTTCTCTCACAAAATATATGTATTTTTATGTATGTACATGTATATAATCAGCTCAAATAGAATACATCGCAATCCTCCAGAAATGATAACAAGAAACTCGATGAGAAACATTTGAAGCAAGATCAGTCTTTCTCGATATTTTCATCAACTCGGATTGAATTCATTGAAATACAAAATAAAATAAAATAAAATCTTTCTTAACTAGAAACGCTCTTAATTTAAGATGCTGATAAGCCAGAACAGTGAAGAAAAAATTGATAAGACAAACATCAAGATGAATAGTGAATTGAACAACGTTGATTCTATTCGAGAAAAAACAAATTCACTTAATGTACAGAAAATTAAAAATATAAATAATTTTATCCAAAAGCATTGTGATGAGAATGATAAGAAAAGTTTCTGCAATGACGAGCTGAAAAAGCATGTTTCTATTTTGTGTAAGTCTCTCCTATTGGCTGAATGGAATTGAACGAGTCTAAAGCTAGCTTTCGGTCATTCCGCTCTTGTTGCTATCACTACCAAAGATTAAGAAAAAAAAGAAGTGGCGATAA